TTTAAGCTAGATTCTGATGAATTATGATGTTAATGAGATAACAGTACCTTTTAGATATCTGTAGCAAAAGTATCATCTTTGAAATGAGGAAATATTTTTCAGAATGTTCTTTGAATCAATTTTTTTAAAATACGAAGATTAGATTATATATCCAAATCTTCTAATAATTTTAGTTCCCAAATATGTATATTTGAAAATTGTGAATTATTATTACTTTTTCAAATTGTTTGTTAATGTTACTGCAAATGGAGACATTATTTTTCTCTTCTCTCGTGTTCCTGTTTTAGTTTGGGAACTCCCAGAAGCAGATGTTGAGACACAGATTCAAATTCAGTTTATTTGAAAGGTGATCCCAAGGAACACCAGTAGGGAGGAGACAGGGAGGAGAATTCAGCCAATTTGGCCAAAAAGCGATTAATCTGATCAAAAAATGGGCTGAAGATTTGGATAGACGTTTCTCAAGACATAAAAATGGCTAACAGGCATATGAAAAGGTACTCAACATCACTGATCATCAGACAAATACAAGTCAAAACCACAATGAGATATCATCTTACCTAGTTATAGCTTATGTCCACTGGACATAATCAAGCACTGTGACCCACTGGAGCTTTATCCCACACAATAACTCTGGAACTAGAGCAGAACTCAAGTTTCAGGGCTGTCTCACCTGAGGGGCTGGGAAGTTTGGGTATTTATAGTCTAGTGGCCATTAGTTACTGGATGAGGACTATTGATGGGGAGGGGCATGAATTCCCCAGCACTTCTAGTCTACTGCATCCTTGGGCATTGCTGGCTTCAGCCACCAGAGAAAGTCCCTATTTATTTATTTATAATTTTTTTAAATTCATAATTTTCATGGGTACACAGCAGGTATATATATTTTTGGTGTATATGAGATATTTTGGTACAAGCATGGAATGTGGAAATAATCACATTGTGAAGAATGGGGTATTCACCCCCTCAACTTTTTATCTTTTAAATTACAAACAAAAATGTACAATTAAGTTATTATTGACTATAGTCACCCTGTTGTGCTATCAAATGGTAGGTCTTAATCTTCTTTCTGTTTTTTTTTTTTTTTTTTTTGTACCCATTAACCATCCCCACCTCCCTCCCAGCCCCCTGCTACCCTTACCAGACTCTAGGAACCATCCTTCTACTGCCTGTGTCCATGAGTTCAATTGGTTTGATTTTTAGAGCCCACAAGTAAGAGAACATATAATATTTGTCTTCTGTACCTGGCTTATTTCACTTAACATATGATCTCCAGTTCCATCCATGTTGTTGTAAATGACTGGATCACATTCTTTTTATGGCTGACCAGAACTCCATTGTGTATATGTGCCATGTTTTCTTTATCCATTCATTTGTTGACGGACACTTAGGTTGCTTCCAAATCTTAGCCATTGTAAACAGTGCTGCAGCAAACATAAGAATGCAAATATCTCTTAGGTATATTGATTTCCTTTGAGTATATACCCAGTAGTGGGATTGCTGGATCAAACGGTAGCTCAATTTTTAGTTTTTTGAGAAAGCTCCAAACTGTTCTGCATAGTGGTTGTACTAATTTACATTCCCACCAACAGTGTGCAAGCATTCCCTTTTCTCTGCATCTTCACCAGCATTTATTATTGCCTGTCCTTTGGTTGTATGCCATATTAACTGGAGTGAGATAATATCTCATTGTAGTTTTGATTAGCATTTCTCTGATGATCAGTGAATGTTGAGCACCTTTTCATATGCCTGTTTAACATTTATATGTCTTCTTTTGAGAAATGTCTATGCAAATATTCTGCCCACTTTTTGATTGGATTATTAGATTTTTTCCTGTAGAGTTGTTCAGCCTCCTTATATATTCTGGTTATTAATCCCTTGTCAGATGGGTAGTTTTCAAATATTTTCTCCCATTCGGTGGGTTGTCTCTTCACTTTGATTGTATCCTTTGCTATGCAGAACGTTTTTAAGTTGATGTGATCTCATTGTCTATTTTTGCTTTGGTTGCCTGTGCTTGTAGGGTATTGCGAAAGAAATTTTTGCCCAGACTAATGTCCTTGAGATTTTCTCTAATGTTTTCTTGTGGTAGTTTCATAGTTTGAGGTCTTAGATTTAACTCTTTAATCCCATTTTGATTTGATTTTTGTATATGGCAAGAGTTAGGGGGTGTAGTTTCATTCTTCTGCATCAAGATATCCAATTTTCCTGGCACTGTTTATTCAAGAGACTGTCTTTCTTCAGTGTATATTCTTGGCACCTTTGTTGAAAATGAGTTCACTGTAGGTGTGCGGATTTGTTTCTGGGTTCTCTGTTGTGTTGCATTGGTCTGTGTGTCTGCTTTTATGCCCATACCAAGCTGTTTGAGTTACTATAGCTCTGTAGTATAGTTTGATGTGAGGTAATGTGATTCTTTCAGTTTTGTCCTTTTTGCTTAGGATAGTTCTGGGTCTTTTATGGTTCTGTATACATTTTAGAATTGTTTTTTTCTATTTCTGTGAAGAACATCATTGGTATTTTGATAAGGATTACATTGAATCTATAGATCGCTTTGGGTAGTATGGACATGTTAACAGTATTGATTCTTCCAATCCATGAACATGGAATATCTTACAATTTTTTGGTGTCCTCGTTAATTTCTTTCATCAGTGTTTTGTGGTTTTTATTATAGAGATCTTTCACTTCTTTGGTTAATTCCTAGGCATTTAATTTCATGGGTGGCTATTGCAAAGGGGATTACTTTTTAACTTCTTTTTCATATTGTTCACTGTTGGCATACAGAAGTGCTACTAATTTTTGTATGTTAATTTTATATCTGCAGCTTTACTGAATTTGTCTATCAATTCTAATATTAATAATTTTCTTGTGGAGTCCTTAGATTTTTTTAAAATTTAAGATCACATCATTTCCAAAAAAGAATAATTTGACTTCCTCCTTTCCAATTAGGATGCCCTTTATATCTTTCTCTAGTCTGACTGCTCTAGCTAGGGCTTCCAGTACTATGTTGAGTAACAATGGTGAAAGTCGGCATCTTTGTCATGTTCCAGATTTTAGAGGAAAGGTTTTCAGGTTTTCCTCATTCAGTATGATGCTAGATGAGGGGCTATTGAGGTATGTTCCTGCTATACCCAGTTTTCTGAAGGTTTTTATCATGAAGGAATGTTTAATTTTATCAAATGCTTTTTCAGCATTAACTAAAAGGAACATGTGGTTTTTACCCTTTATTTTGTTAATACAATGTATTGCATTCATTGATTTGTGTATGTTGAATCATCCTTGCATCCCAGGGATAAATCTCACTTGGTCATGATAAATAGTCTTACTAATGCAAGCTTGTGAAATCTGTGGTCCATGGGCCAGGCCCAGGATGGCTTTGAATATGGCCCAACACAAATTTGTAAACTTTATAAAACATGAGAATTTTTTTTTTTTGCTCGCTTGCCTGCCTTCCTTCCTTCCTTCCTTTCTTCCTTCCTTCCTTCCTTCCTTCCTTCTTTCTCTCTCTTTTTCTTCTTTTTTTTTTTCCAGCTCATCAGCTATTGTTAGTGTTAGTGTATTTTATGTGTGGCCCAAGACAATTCTATTTCCAATTTGGCTCAGGGAAGCCAAAATATTGGACATCCCTGTTCTAATATATCATTGAATTCTGTTTGCTAGTATTTTGTAAAGAATTTTTGCATGAGTATTCATTAGCGATAATTGGCCTGTAGTTTTCTTTTTTTTGATGCACCTTTGTCCGGTTTTGGTATCAGAGTAATACTGGCCTTGTAGAAAGAGTTTGGAAGTATTCCCTCCTCCTCTATTTTCAGAATAGTTTGAGAAGGATTAGTATTAGATTTTCTTTAAATATTTCTAATAGTAGAATCAGAATTTAACTTCTTTAAATATTCTAATAGTAGAATTCAGTAATGAAGCCATCCAATCCTGGGCTTTTCTTTAGTGGGAGACTTTTTATTACAGCTTCCATCTCACTGCTTGTTATTTGTCTGTTTAGGTTTTGGATTTCTTCCTGGGTCTATCTTGGTAGGTTGTATGTGTCTAGGAATTTGTTCATTTCTTCTAGATCTTCCAAATTTATTGGCTTATAGTTGCTCATAGTAGCCCCTTATGATCCTTAGAATTTCTGCAGTATCAGTTGTACTGTTTCCTTTATTATTTATTTGTATCTTTCTCTTTTTTTCTTAGTCTGGCTAAAGGTTTAATAGTTTTAACTTAAAAAAATAAAAACAACGTTTTGTTTCATTGACCTTTTGTATTTTTCCCCCATTTCCATATCATTTATTTCTGTTCCGATCCTTATTATTTCTACGAATTTTGGGTTTGGTTTGCCCTTGCTTTTCTAGTTCTTTAAGATGCATTGTTAGATTATTTGAAGTTTTTCCTCATTTTTGATGTAGGCACAAAGTTCTTGGGCAAAGAGATGCATTTGGAATGTTTTTCCCATGATATGGTCAGAGGGGATATGGGCAAGGCACCACTAGCTTAGCTGTAATTCCCATCATAATATTTGCATTGGGTTTCCTTTTCTTTAAGCAAAGCAAAAAATAAGCCTAATGAAAAGGTAGAAAAGGAATGAATTCCAGGAGATAATTTTAAAAATACAGTAGATTAGAGGCATAAGTTGATGTAATTGATGTATACTTTCTTTGTGAGTAAAGTTTCTGCAACCTCTCAGGGTAGTTGATGGATTAGCCTATTTTAGGTATTTTCAGTAAATACAAATGACTGCTGACTAAACACTAAATGAACCTTGTAGGTTTGTGTTTATGTTAAATTATGAATTAATCTCTTCTTGTTTATAATTTAATTCTGATCTACTGAATGGGAGATGATTTCCACATGGTCTCCTCAGTACAGAGTGACTACAACACTTGGGGAAGATGTGGCAGATGTAGTTGGTTGCTTGTTGACAGAATCCCACATTTGTATAAGTACTGTATAATCATATGCTTCCAGAAACGTTGATTAGCTTAAGCTTATTTTGGTGATTTCTTTCTTCTTGCTAGTGGTTGGTTTAGGAGCATGCATATCGCAGTTCTGGACAGTGAGATGTGAGAGGAGATTTGCTGGAGGGAGAGATTCTGAGAAGGCTTTCGGACCCTTAAGAAGAGGCAGAAGGAAGGATGTTATTATGTGAGGATGGGATACCTGCAGCCACCTTGAAGACCAGGTGGAACAAACTGGGAAAAGAACCAACACACTGAGGATCACAGAGAAGAAACATGGAAAGCTTCTGGGATCTTGTTGCTGTCCCTGACCCACTCATTTTACCCACTCTGGAAATGCCTTAATGTTTCCTGTTACTTTGAGATAACAAATTCAGTTTTTTCAGGCTATTTCTGTTAGTTTCAGCTGAAACCATCCCAAGCTACAGATTCAGGAGAAAAGGAGGGAAATTTTCTTGTTTCAAATGAAATTTTATAATTGATTTAAAGTCCTTTGGGTTTTGGGTGAACTTAATTTATTGCTATTCATTTGAATACAGAAATGGATGAGAGGAGAAGACTTTTGTATGGGAAATGGTTGCTGGTTGCAAATCTCACTGAATAAACTCTTATTCCTGATTATGCTGGATATTGAGTTATTGTCCATATCAGGTCGTTAAATTATTTTAGTGCCCAGGTGTACAGTTTATAAAACCAAAGAGTAGAGATATGTAGGAATTGTCTTATTGCCATTATTCCTTGAGAACTATTAACAAATGATTCAGGAATATTGGCTTTTCAATTAACTTGAAGTAAGTTTCTTAGGATGCTTTGCTTTTAGTTACTGCATTTTTAGCAAGTACCTGGTAATCTGGGGGACTGTGGCTCAAAGTAGTTAAACTGAATTTGAAAAGGATCAGGACTGGCTATAAAGTGAGACGGAGTGGGTCCAGGTACCTGTGGATATGGTACTCTCCTTAATGCGTATTTCTCTCTCATTATGTTCCAAAGCCAATGAAAAGCCAATTGTATTCATTATCCTGGGGGTATAGTCTTAATTCTGCCACTTTTCCATGTTAATGTATTAAGTATAAAGGTTGTGAAATCCATTTCAGATGTTACTGGTTTGGGAAGTATAAGGTTACAGATTGAATGGCATTTAAATTTCTTTTTTCCTCTCTCTCCGTTTTTTTTTTTTTTTTTGAGATAGGGTCTTGCTCTGTCACCCAGGCTGGAATGCAGTGGCACACTCACTGCAGTCTTGAGCACCCTGGCCCAAATAATCCTTCCTACCTCAGCCTCTCTAGTAGTTGGGACTACAGGTGCATGCCATCCCTCCTGGTTAATTTTTGTATTTTTTGTAGAGACAGGGTTTGACTGTATTGCCCAGGCTGGTAAATTAATTAATTAATTTACTTATTTGTTTATTTTGAGACAGAGTCTCTCTCTGTTGCCAGGCTGAAGTGCAGTGGCTCAGTCTCGGCTCACTGCAACCTCCACATCCCGGGTTCATAGCGATTCCCCATCCCCAACCTCCCGAGTAGCTGGGACTACAGGCAGTGAGCCACCACGCCTGGCTAATTTTTTGTATTTTAGTAGAGACGGGGTTTCACCATGTTGACCAGGGTAGTTTCAATCTCCTGACTTCGTGATCCACCTGCCTTGGCCTCCCAAAGTGTTGGGATTACGAACATGAGCCACGCGCCCAGCCTAAATTTCTTTATTTTTAAAATAGAAATGGTGGGGAAATGTACCATCTGGGTCACTGAAAAGCTGGAGCAAAGACGTATGGAACTCAGGGATATGGACTTTACTTTGTATCCCTGGTGGTGGGGGGTGGTATGTCCTTGCTGATGTAGACTTTAAGAACCAGGAGATCCTGAAGTGTGTGTATAAATATTACTTTTAAAAAGAAGGTAGATATTATTTATCTTTAATAGCAATAATATAAGGCCTGCGTCTAAAAAGATTCTAGGGTAATAAGAAAATCCTCAGGCTGGGCACGGTGGCTAATGCCTGTAATCCCAGCACTTTGGGAGGCCAAGGTGGGCAGATCACTTGAGGTCAGGAGTTAGAGACCAGCCTGGCCACGATGGTGAAACCTCGTCACTATTAAAAATACAACAATTAGCCAGTCATGGTGATGCAAGTTTATAATCCCAGCTACTTGGGAGGATCACTTGAACCTGGGAGGTGGAGGCTGCAGTGAGCCAAGACTACACCACTATACTCCAGCCTGGGCAACAGAGTGAGACTGTATCAAAACAGAAAAAAAGAAATGAATCCTCTCAGTCTGTGAAGACTAGTCATACACTGTTGCTTGGGGTTCAAGGGAAGCTGCCTTTTTGTGTGGGAGTATCCTTTCTGATAAAAGAGATTCAGTAACTTAGTCAAGCTTTACCCTGTGAACGAAGAGGTGTGTGTGTGTGTGTCGGTGTGTGTGTGTGTTGTGGGGGGGGGGGGCGTGCATTCTTTTCCTGCCTTCTGGTTTTATAGAAGCACTCAAATACTCATTGGATCTTGGAAAGATGACTCTTCCTTTATTTAAGATGCAGTATTATGCTGACTAGTAAAAGAATCTTGATTATTTGCTAATGGGCCAAAGGCAAGTACAAGAAAAATAGGAAAGCTATTATTACTGGTTTTAATTTTGGAATTTTTATGCCTTTTTCTATTTTGTGTTATAGTTTTATATTGCTATCATTTCTGCCCCTTATTTGGTACTGATGCCTCATATCAGGGATATGACGTATACCATAGATAGATCATTAAGGGTAAGATGTAATAGCAGGGAAGTTATGTCATCTATTCTTAGGTTCTCCCCATACTCCTATAGTTATTCTTTTTTTTTTTTTTTTTGAGACAGTGTCTTGCTCTGTTGCCAGGCTCCAGGCTGGCGTGCAGTGGTGCGATCTCGGCTCACTGCAACCTCCGCTTCCCGGGTTCAAGCAATTCTCCTGCCTCTCAGCCTCCCGAGTAGCTGGGACTACAGGCATGCGCTAGCACGCCCAGCTAATTTTTATATTTTAGTAGAGACGGGGTTTCACGATGTTGGCCTGGATGGTCTCAATCTCTTGACCTCGCGATCCGCCCGCCTCGGCCTCCCAAAGTGCTGGGATTACAGGCGTGAGCCACCGTGCCCAGCCTCCATAGTTATTCTTTTATTTAATTGATTCAATAAATAATTGATCACCTCTGGAATGTCAGACACTTTGCAGTGTCTAGGGGTGTAGCAGTAAACAAAATGGGCAAAATCTTTGCTCTCATGGAGCTTGTGGTTTAATAAGGAAGATGGACAGTAAGCAAATATTTGGTAAGTTTGGTGGTGAAATGTACTAGGGAGAAAAATAAAGTAGATGATAGAATAATAGAGGAAGATGGAGAGGAAGTTTGTATCCCTGCTTTTTTATTTAGGATGGTGATTGAGGAAGATTTTCTCATGTTGACATTTAGACTGAGACCTGAATGAAATTTCTTTACTCTAACTATACTTGCCTCCTTGCTATTTCTTGTGTATTTACAGCACAAACGTTGTACTAATTTATCCCTTTGCCTAGAATACTCTTCTGAGAGATAGTCACAATTTAAATATATTTTATAGGGAGAAGGATTGGGAGTTATCAATTGTGTTACCAGGCAAATGGAATTTTCTTTTCTCTTAGCGATGGGTCTGGTTGCCACTGAATTTTGTAGAATTATGTTTTCTTTAGTGATCACTTAAAATAACAAGCGTAATTTGTTTAAATATACATGATGTTTAGGATAATTTTTTTTGAAGACTTAATATCACCCGTTATTTTTGTCCCACTTGTTACCGTACAAAAATTAAAGTGGACTATCTGTAACAAAAACTAAGTTGTCTTGGTCACTTTGGGCTGAGTGACCAAGACTGGATGGTTGAAACAAATACCATAGACTGGATGGTTGAAACAAAACAAATTTATTTCTTATAATTCTGGAGGCTGGGAAGTCCAAGATCAAGGCTTCTGATGTCTGGTGAGGGCGTGCTTCCAGCTCGCAGATGGCTGTCTCTCATGGTATCTTCACATGCTTGTGTCCCAAAGTCCCCACCCCCAAATACTATCACACTGGGGATTTAAGCTTCAACATACAAATTTGGGGGGATACAAACCTTCAGTTCCATAGCATGAGTTATTATATTTTGTCAGTTGACCTAATATAACCCGATATCCTGGGTAATAGCAGAGAGGTAATCACATTACTTATTGGTAAGCTGAAAATGAATGACAGTTTTATTCTAAAGCAATTTTTAAAGCAACAGTAGGCTGTTGTTTTACATACTTCTCTGAAAACTATACATTTATTTACTTTATCTAGAAGTGGAGTGAGTGTGGATCTCTTTATTAATTTTTCTCCTAAACATACTGAAAATATTTTGCATTACACCCTTAGGACTGATTAGGTTTATAAAGAAAAGGCATCTGTGAATGAAATGCTGGATTGCATCTCCCATTGGATCAACTCAACTAATTATGCAAAAAATAAAAATAACCCCATTTTTGCTGAACATAGGAATTTTGTCATTGCAAAAGAACTGAATGGTTCACCACATTCTCATGGAGACGTCTTACTGAGGCTGCAGTAGCTGGGTGTACTATTGTTGAAAAGGAGAATTTCTATTTGTATGTATTCTTTAGGTTCCTGTGTGCCTAAAATGGATCATTTCTACCATTGTGTTTTATCTTCCTTGATTTCCACATCATCTTTTATTTGTACTTTGTAGATAGTAGTATTTGGAGCATATTTGGCTATTAGCCAGTTAGTGATTATCTTTTATAATGTTTTTAAAGGATAACAGAGATAAATTAAATTTCAAAACATTACTGAAACATCCTTCCCAATAGCACCTATAACCTTCTTTCTCGCCCATACCTTTTCTAGAACTATAGAACAGATCAAATGAGATTTCCCTTTTTTTTTTTTTAAGCTAACTCTGCCCTCCAGTGGAGAAAACACAGGGCAGTGAAATAGCTCAGGTAACATGTAGCAGAAAGGAAAGGATATAACACAGCCAGGTAAAATTCAAGCTGCATAGCTATTTTCTACATAAAAGAGAGGAGTTGTTTTCACCCCTTATAAGCAAGACTATTTTTTTTTTTTGACAGAGTCTCGCTTTGTCACCCAGGCTAGAGTGCAATGGTGTGATCTGGGCTCACTGCAACCTCTGCCTCTCAGGTTCAAGTGATTGTTGTTCCTCAGCCTCTTTAGTAGCTGGGATTACAGGCGTGCACCACCATGTCCAGCTAATTTTTGTATTTTTAGTAGAGACAGGGTTTTGCCATGTTGGCCATGCTCATCTGTAACTCCTGACCTCAGGTAATCTGTCTGCCTTGGCCTCCCAAAGTGTTGGGATTACAGGTGTTGCCCACAAGCAAGACTATTATGCATAAGTCTTCCTCTTTGTGAGTTTGTTGATGAATCAAAGAAGGATATATTGTCACTTCTCTGACTTAATGTCTTTGATGCAATGCTTTGCAGCCTTTTGTCCACTCTGGTAGGATGTACCAGAAGCATTAGGCAAGTCTATCAGGAGGTGAGTAATTGGATTTTTTTCTCCCCTGGAATGAACTCAAAAAATAACTTTTAATTTTTTAAACTTTTTGAAAAGACCAAAAAAAAAAAAACCCTTAAGTGGTTATAAACAAGAAACATTTTGCTGCTACTTGTGTATTCAAAGCACTCAGAAAACTGTGAACTGACTACGACTCTCCCCCTTTTTTGAATAAAGAAGGGAGAGAGTTGGCTTGAATTCTGTGACTTGGCCTCAACTTGATCTCTTGGTGAACACTGGGCTTCATCATGGTGAATGGTGACTGTGTGATTGAGCACCTGAGAAAGTTACAGAGGCAAGTGTTCAGAACATGGGCTTGCATGTGTGCAACTCTGGGCTGGGGAATGGAGCCAGGGTCAGGGGATGCTAAGCTGCTGGTGTTTCTATCCTTCTAGGGAGGGAGCATTAGATCACTCAGTTGAAGCTGAAATGTTAAAGGAGGCTTGATGGTTTTGTGTTGGTGGAAATTTGGAGATAGGTTTTCCTAAAAGCGTATAGTGGGTGGTAGTTGAGAAACACTAGACAGAGGCTTTCATTTTCTTAACCCTTACAAAAACCTGAGCCAACTATCCTTACAGTGAGTTGTCATTTGAAGTTTTCTACCTACTCAAGGAATGTGTTTTCTTCTTTATCTTCTTTTAATGGAGCATATCTTCTGCAAACCTTTTTACAGTTAGAGTGATTCTTAAAATTTAGGCATATACAGGACAATTAGACATAAAAATACGTGACTTACAGGTTTTAAAGCAAGGATCCTTGCATGGTAGACTTTCAAAAGGATAACCTTCTGCAAAACCACATAAACATCAGAGACTGCCAGAGGGAACTCACTTTTAGAAAAAAACATGATATGTGAATTTTTAGTAATAAATTTTGAAATTCTTGAAGGGAAATGATATATGATTTAAGTTTCTTAAAAATAATTTATATTTAATTTTTATTTTAAATAATTATTGTTTTAAGATCTGATTCATTCTGAGCTATAATTGACTCTAGAGGGTGCTGATGAGCACTGAAGATGTCCTAAAGATTTAAATTGAAGATTGTTTTTATTAAAATCAAGTTTCCTTGAGGTTTTAATCTAGTATTTGAAAATAAACACATATTTTGCCCTCCCAAGAGAGCCTAGAGCAAAATACTTAGTGGTTTTTTTTTTTTTTGAGATGGTGCTTGCCCTGTTGCCCAGGCTGGAGTGCAGTGACACGATCTCAGCTCACTGCAACCTCCACCTCCTGGGTTCAAGTGATTCTCCTGCCTCAGCTTCCCAAATAGGTGGGACTACAGGTGCATGTGCCACCATGCCTGGCTAATTTTTGTATTTTTAGTAGAGATACGGTTTCACCATGTTGGCCAGGCTGGTCTTGAACTCTGACCTCAAGTGATCCACTGGCCTGGTCCTCCCAAAGTGCTGGGATTACAGGTGTGAGTCACTATGCCTGGCCTCATTGTTGTTCTTTTGAAAGTAGGTAAATAATTTACCACTGTTCTTAGAAACTCTTTGAAAATTCCACTGAATTTGTGTGATTTCTGTAAACTAACTTTGAATCCTGCTTTTGAAAGTGTGTTTAATGTTTCAAAAGAAAAGAACCTACCTCATGCATATAAAATATAAATCTTAGTACTGGATTAGTGTATTATTTTATAAATTTAGTTATGTTTGCAGAAATATTTATTTTATCTTTAGAAAGAAACTTCAAAAAGTACACTTTAAAGTTAGATTTTACAGAACTAACATTTAGCTATTAGAGTAATGTATGCTTCTTATATTTTTAGCAGGTAGACTACTTTTAAACTATAATATGTTTTTTTGTTTGCTCATTTGTTTGTTTGGTTAGTTTTTTTCTGAGACAGAGTCTTGTCTGTTGCCCAGGCTGGAGTGCAGTGGTACAATCACAGCTTACTGTAGCATCAACCTCTCGGGCTTAAGTGATCCTCCCACCTCGGCCTCCTGCATAGCTGTGACTACACATGTGTACTACCACACCCGACTAATTTTTGTATTTTTAGTAGAGACAGGTTTTGCCTTGTTGCCCAGGCTGGTCTCAAACTCCTGGGCCCAAACAATTTGTGCGCCTTGGCCTCCCAAAGTGCTGGGACCACAGGCATGAACTACCATGCCCAGCCTACAGTGTGCTGTATTAATTTGAAAAAACTTTTCACTTTTCAGATAGGGAAGCTTTTAGAAAATTGCTGTCTTAACCCAAACTCCAAAGATGGTGATGATAAAGATATACATTGTTAAGCAAAAATAAAATTTGAAGGGCCTCCTAACCTCCTGCAGCTATCTGAATAGACTCCCTCATCAGCAAGGGCACTCTAAAATTTAACTTGAAACACTGATTCAGGTCATGAAGTGGGGGTTGGATATGCCTCATTATACCCCTCCGACATTAACATCAACACAGACCTTAAGTCTGATAAGAAACATTTACAATCTATTTTCTCTGAACCCTGCAACTTGGAGGCTTCATCTGTATGATAAAACTTTGGTCTCCATCAGGCGTGGTGGCTCACACCTGTAATCCCAGCACTTTGGGAGGCCAAGGCGGGTGGATCACGAGGTCAAGAGATTGAGACCACCTGGCTAACATGGTGAAACCCCATCTTTACTAAAAATATGAAAATTATCCGGACATGGTGGCGCATGCCTGTAGTCCTAGCTACTCAGGAGGCTGAGACAGGAGAATCGCTTGAACCTGGGAGGTGGAGATTGCAGTGAGCCGAGATCGTGCCACTGCACTCCAGCCTGGCCACAGAGTCTGGACAAAAGAAAACAAACAAAACAAAAAAACCCCCTTGGTTTCCAGAACCCCTTATCTTAACCCAGACTGTTTTTTTCTACTGATAATAACTCTTTCAACCAATTGCCAGTCAGAATACGTTTAAATCTACCTATGACCTGGAAGCCCCTCTCTCCTACCGAGTTGTCCTCCCTTTCCATATCTAACCAGTGTAAATCTTACATATATTGATTGGTGGACTATGTCTTCCTAAGATGTATGAAAGCCAGCTGAATCCTACCTGCCCTGGGGCAGAGCCTCTGAGGCTGTGTCACGGTATGTGTTTAACCTTGGCAAAATTAACTTTCTAAATTGAGTGAGACCTCTCTCAGAGATTTTTAGTTCACAACGTTAACAAAAGTCCTGTGTTATAGTGAGAAAACTTTGCTAAACAAAATGAATTATTCTTAATTGGAGTATTAGTCACTTCAAAGAATGAATGTTAATGTAAACTTTACATTATGTTCTACCTATGAAAAAGTGATGTATTTCCAGACTACCCTTTGTTTAACATTTCTTCAGAAATATCACAACTGTTTAATTACTGCAGGCAGAGAATCATAGTAGAAAAATTCTCTCAGTAATTTGACATGAAACCTATGTTTTACTCATTGAAGGCAGTGTTATCCAACAGAACTTTTTGTGGTGATGGAAATATTCTATATCTACACTGTCCAATTTGGTAGTCACCAGCTATTGAGAGCTTGAAATGTGGCCAGTGTTACTGATGAACTGAATTTTTAATTTTGTTTTATTTTAATTAAAAATTAAATTAATAGCGACTTGTGTCTGGTGGCTACCAGGTTGGATGGCATTGATTTTAGGTCCTTCTGCTAGGTGATAGATGTATCGGGGATGGAATTATGACTGGTGGTACATATGTGTATCTGTGCAGTCCTTTGAACTTTTATAAACCTGCCTGGGTATTATAACATGCAAACACCTTGTTTCCAAATAGACACATTTATGTGAAAAGAATTGGCCCTTTGGATGTATCTCAAACCCTGAAGGTTTTCTTTTGTGCTTTTGAGTTAAAGTGTAGATAGCATCATACAAGAGGTGACTGCAAAATGGAGAGACTGATGAAAACAAAACAAAAGCAACCCCAAACCAGAATTTATGTCCACTGCGTAGGGATTTTATTTGGAAGTTGGTATGCTTTTCTGAATGTCCTTAAGTGTAGCAAGTCTTCCTACTTTGAGGGTAAACTTGGGTATTATAAAGAGGCAATTTGTACTTATGTCTGGTAAATAATGATAAAATACTTGAATAATGCTTTATAATTTGCCAGGCAGTTGCAATTTTATCTTCTTGGAATATTAGCCCCATTTTACAGACAAGAGAACCATGATTTAATCAAGGTTTTAAGGCTCATTCATTTCACAAACACTTATTGATCACTTACTGTTCATGTAGATTTCTAGGTTAGGAATGAAGTAGCAGTTCCTCCTCGGAGGAATTAACAATCTAGTCGGGACAATTAAAGAAATGAAATTATTATAGTATACTCAATAGGATAAGAGATATAGGTGCATAGGATGCAGTGGAAGAAGAAGGAGAAACATCTGGCATGGTGGTGAGACCTGAGGGAGTCAGGAGTTTCCTGGGTGAAGGAGGCAGGGGAAGGGTGCTCCAGAAGAGGCTATGCCAGGAGCAAAGGTGTGAAGGTGCTGGTGTTCTAAATCAGAATAAATTTAGTACATAGAAGGTCCCTGAAGTACATAGAAGGTGCACAAAATTTACTAGTGGTCTTATATCATTTTGACCTTGTTTTTTTTCTAGCTCAGTCTGAAGAAAGGCTGGGCTAAAAATAGCTCCTGGTACAGTGATAAAGCATCCAAGTAACGATTTCAAGGAGAAAGTTAAGACTAGATTTAGTTATTTGGCAAACACTAACTTAAAATATTGATGTGCTAATAAGAAATCATCTTACGTATTAAAGCAGATCCTTAGAGGCCTGTTTTTGTTCCTCTTACTGGAATATCAATTCTATAAGGGCTTCAATTCACTGTTTTCCCAGGGCCTAGAACAGTACCTGACATATATTAGAAGCTCAGTAAATATTTGGTATATGAAGAAATCAATCCTAGGCTGTTATCTGAAAAGTCACTATGAATGCTTAAACCATATTAGAAATGTGTATTTTAAAAATTCAAGAATTCACGCATTTCCATTATTCAGACTAGGCTTTTCTCCAGTGTCTCAGATACATACTCCTATGTAACAAACTTTCCTAAAAGTTAGTGATTAAAAAATAGCCATATTATTGCTTATGATTTTGTGGATCAGGAGTTTGGGCAAAGCTTATTAGAGACAACTTTTTTCTATTCCACATGGTATTGGCCAGGATTAGAGGGTTCGTGGTGGCCTCACCTCCATGCCTGGGGCCTTGATACTAGTTGTTACCTAGGAAGCCTCAGTTTTCTTCCCTGTGGCCTCTCCAATGGTCTCTCATTATTCACTAGACTAGGTTGAGCTTCTGTACATCGTACTGAGATTGTTCCACGGTAAAAACAGAAGTTGTAAGGTATCTTAAGGCTTTGACCTGAAAGTTATAGACTGTCAGTTCTACCATATTCTTTTTTTTTTTTTTTGGAGATAGAGTCTTGCTCTGTCGCCCAGGATGGAGTGTAGTGGCACCATCTCGGCTCACTGTCACCTCCACCTCCTGGGTTTAAGCAATCTCATACCTCAACCTCCCAAAAAGCTGAGATTAGAGGCACGTGCCACCACACCCAGCTCATTTTTGTACTTTTAGTAGAGATGGGTTTTCACCATGTTGCTCAGGCTGGTCTCAAACTCCTGACCTCAAGCAGTCTGCTTGCCTTGGCTTCCCAAAGTGCTGGGATTACAGGCGTGAGCCCCTGCACTCAGCCAGTTCTACCAAATTCTGTTGGTCAAAGCAAGTCAGAGGACCAGCTCAGATTTAAGTGGAAGGGAAAAGATTCTACCTTTTGATGGGAAAGAGTCAAGTTCCTATAGCAAAGTGGCATGAGATCGAAGGTATTGTGGAGCTATCTTTGGAAACAGGTTGCTACAGTCTGCCCTCTGAACATAACAATTCACATTTCTTCCACATGCAGAATATACTTTACTCCTCTCTTGGAAGTCTTATCCCATTATGGCATCCACCTGAAGTCTAGTATCTTTTCATCTAACTAAAGTCCAGATGCATATGAGATTTCTTAGGCACAGTTGCTCCAGGACAACTTCTTTCTTTTCTTTTCTTTTTTTTTTTCCAAGACAATTTGCTCACCCAGGCTGGAGTGCAGTGGCGTGATCTTGGCTCACTGCAACCTCCTTCTCCTGGGTTCAAATGATTCTCTTGCCTCAGCCTCCCAAGTAGCTGGGATTACACAGGTGCCCACCACCACATCAAGCTATATTTTTAGTAAAGAAGGGGTTTCACCATGTTGGCTAGACTGGTCTCAAACTCCTGACCTCATCATCTGCCCACCTCAGCCTCCCAAAGTTCTTGAATTAGAGGCATGAGTGACTGCGCCTGGCTTCCAGTACAGCTTCTTTAGATCTAGAAATCTGTGAACAAAAAGATAAGTTATCTGCCTCGGTCTCCCATCCCCTAGTCAACATACAGTGGTGAGATAGGGGCAAGAAAACTATAGTAGACACTCCCATTTAAAAAGAAGAAGAATTAGAAGCACTGTTCCATAGCAATTTTGAAGTTCATCTGGGCATATGTTACTCGTCTCTTACCACATGTGTCAAAAATATACCTTAAATAGTGCCCAGTTCTGCTCCTTGAGAGTTGTTCCCTAGTACATGGTTTTGCAAGATTGTTAGTTCTACCCTTTGGGTTGGCTTTCTCCTCCTCTTTTATTTTTCATAAGAAATAGGACCTATTTGTAGCTGAGTAGCTTTCCAACCTGCTTCTTACCTGTGCCAAGTTGGGAACCCACAGATATTTTATTTCTCCCATTTTGAACTGTTGGTCTTTCTCTTTTAGTCCAAACTGATGGTACTTTTAGTACTCTAGTTTTCTTTAAAACTTTGAGAGTTTTCTATGAATGTTATTAGGGATGGATTCTATGACCCAAAAGCCACATTCATTATTCTTATCCAGGACAGAACTGTCTTTACTTTGGCTCTGTCTATAGAAGGAAAAGGTCAATAAGATTCTTAGAAGTCCCTTTGTATAGATGAGAAGAGTCTATATTTTCAAGGTCTCAACAAAAGATCTTATGGACAAACCTCTCATTTCATATCTACCCAGAGACCATTTTTAAATTTCAGATCTTTTGCCACTTGCAGAGACTGTCTTGGGCCCTCTCTACTTCCACTAAATTCTGCTTAAAAATTAAACAGATCCTTCTTTAGTTTATTTCTCTCTTCCCTTACTTTATCATATGCAGCTAAAAGAAGCCAATTGGCAGTTAACTTTCAATGTTCTACCTGGAAATATCTTTATCCAGTTGGTAAGTTAATTAAGTAAATATTCTATCTTACATAATTATTAAATTAGGTAAATATTATTGCAGGCAACAGTCTTGCCAAACATTACACCACTATGTAACATGAGTCCCTCTCTTTCCTGCATCTAATAGCAATTTTCTCATGGCTCTTCTGGCCTTTGCTAACAACCGACTTTCCACTTTTTCAGCCTCTGCCTGCCATCAGGTCCGAAAACCAATGACTTGCTTATGGCACTTTCCATAAGCAAGTCATACAAATCAAGTCACGTATATAAGAAAGAGAAAATAGATTCCATTTCTTGAAGGGAGGAATGGCAAATTACCATTGCAAAAGAGTGTGTGGAATGGGATGACTTATAGTCATCTTTAGAATCATCTATAGCACCTAGTAAGTTTAAACTTGGAAGATTTACTATAGGTGAGAAGTTAACAAGTGGTACCCTGTGTATGTTTCTGGCTCACAGATATGGTATCTTTGGCTTGCGTAGAGTTTAAATTAAAAAAAAACAAAAACCAACATAATTTACCATCATTAAACAATTGGAAGATTTTATTTAGAAGGTTGTATCTCAGGTCTCTCTTGAAAAACAGTAAGATGTTGTTGTATTGGGCCTTCATTTCCATATTAGCTAGAAATTGCCTGATTTACTCACTTTCATGACCTTCTTGGTTCCTATAGGTATTTGAGTTTGCAGTTTTTGCTACTGTAGATTATGAATTTATACATTAGTTTTTTTAAGGGAATGCAGTGATGAGCAAGACAGGCATAGAGCTTACATTCAAGTAGGTGAAGATGGGCAGTAATAATAGATAAGTAATTTATTTAATAAAATATTAGATAAATATTCCACATGGAAGTGGAATTAAGCAAGAATCTGGGATAGAAAGTGACTAGTTGGGGTGGGTATGCTTTAGATGGGGTGGTCAGGAAGGCCTCTCTGGAGACATGACGTTGAGTGGCCTTAGTGATGAGAAGGAGCCAAACATGGGGTCACAGTGTTCTAGGCAGAGGAAAAAGCAAGTGAAATGACCCATGGATAGGGCTGGGCTAAATGTAAGAGGAGAAAACGGTAGTAGAAGAGGGGCATGAATGAGGTCATGAAAGATCCTGTAGGACAGAAAAAGAATTTGAGATCTTCTTCTGAGTAATGGGAAGTCACTGAAGGAATTGAACAGGACTAGGGATGTGATGTCATTTACTTTTTGCAAAGATATCTGTGGCTGCTGTGCAGTAAATAGACTAGTGGTGAAGGGTGGAAATAGGATGGTTGGTAAGGAGGCTTGCAGTCATCTAGAAGGGGTATAAATGATGGGGCCTTGAAGCAGGGTGTGGTACTTTTAAAGAAGTGGTCAGGGGTGGTATGTCTTAAGTGTAGACAGGTCTTATGGAGGATTGAATATGGGAATGGGGGGAATGAAAGCCAACTTTGAGGCTCTTGGCTTGAGCAACTGAATTAATGTGTGGTCCCATGGGGAGTTCTGACAGAGGAGCAAGCTTGAAGTGGGGATTGAGAGTTTTCTCTTGACTATTAATAACTTTGTGATCCTACTACAAAAATAAGGTTGAAAATGAAAACTCCTAAAATGAAATTATTTTCATCTTACAGCTCTTTATATGTTGTTTTTCTTCTCTCCAATGGAAGACTTTGCCATTACTTGGATGGCATAGAAGCTGCAATGGAGGAAGTATACAGATGTCTATTGGAGGATGTATTTACATTTTAATGTGTAGCTATCTGCTGTCAAGAATTAGGCAGTGAGACTGGGCACTGTGGCTCACACCTGTAATCCCAGCACGTCGGAAGGCTGAAGTGGAAGTATTGCTGTAGGCCAGGTGTTTAAGAGCAGCTTGACCAACATAGTAAGCTCTTGTCTCTACAAAAGATTTAAGAATTTACAGGTGTGGTGGCTCACACCTATAATCCCAGCACTTGGGGAGACCAAGGCAGGTGGGTCACTTGAGGCCAGGAGTTTAAGACCAGCCTGGCCAACATGGTGAAACCCTGTCTGTACTAAAAATACAAGAAAAATTAGCTGGGCATGGTGGCGGGCACCTGTAATCCCAGGTATTTGGGAGGCTGAGGCCTGAGAATCATTTGAACCCAGGAGGTGGAGGTTGTAGTGACCTGAGACTGTGCCATTGCATTCCAGCCTGGGCAACAAGAATGAAACAGTCTCAAAAAAAAAAAAAAAATTAAGAATTAGCCAACCATGGTGTTGTGTTATTTTGAGTAATGGGAAGTCATTGAAGGAATTGAATGGGATAGTGGTGTAATGTCATTTACTTTTTACAAAGATGCCCCTGGCTGCTGTGCTGTGAATAGACTAGTGGCCAAGGGTGGAAGCAAAATGTCCATTTTTAATTTTCTATTTATTCCAATTCAGTGTGGTCATAAGGGATCAAGTGTAATTTATTACTCACATTTAATTGTTAGGGAGAAGTAATTCATTTTTACTACTTAAAAAGGTGGCATGATAGTAATCAGAATGTTCTAGGAGAGCCTTCCAGAGGTTTGTAATGCTTAGAATTGAAGTCACTATTTAGCTAAGACCAGAATCATAACTACCTGAGGCAAGATTGAGTAAGGTGAATGGATTTGATGAATTAAAGTGCTACTTGTAAAGGACAGTAAATTTACTTTTATATTTGAGGTAGTAGCTTTTATTGTAAATTCGGATGCAAAATGAAATAATAGAGTTTTCACCCCTTTCAAGAGCCATTTGGCGATAGCGTTTTGACTAGATCTGCCATTCAAGTCAACTTAGAAATAATTCATAATTTTATTTTTAAATTTCTATTTTAGTATATTTTCATATTATCATGAGATAGTGATAACACCACTCTATTTTATTATAATTGGTTGGGAGGAAATAGCCTTTTATAAAAGGTTAGTTAGTGGCTTATTGCCATTATCATTTATTTTACCTTTTTTAGAAAATGAAATCATTACATTTAAATTCAGTGTATACTATGTAGAGAACATAACTGATTTAAAACCATGTAAAATAGCTTGTCTTACTAACAAAACATTCGATTTTTCCTTCTTTGTGAAACCTTGAGTCAAAGTGTACTAGTGAGGATGTTTATATTCCAGTGGTGTAGCTGAACCAGACAGGTCTGCAGCGCAGTGGTTTATTTTTAGACCTGCGTTGCCATTTTTATCCTGCAAAAATATTCATCAGTGTCTTGCTGACAGGCCATCAGTTTTATAAATGTGCCACATAGACCAGATTTTGTTCTTTGTCTCATTTTCCCTCCAACTCTTTTTTTTCTTTTGATTTGTTCATACAACTGTTTGGAGAAGGAGAATTTTTTTTTTTTTTCAATTCATGTAGTAGATGCTTCAATTCACAGATTTTCAGCATCACCCAGTTCATTCATCTATCTGCAGCTGCTTACACATCTCTACTTATTGTCTGATATGGGAAGCTGTTATAGATCACTAAGCTGAAGGCAAGGAAAAGAGAAATGCATGCACTGGGGACTTTCTTCATGGGCCAGTCACTTTTGGGCTGCTTTCTCCGTGTGTGTGTGTGTGTGTGTGTGTGTGTGTGTGTGTGTGTATTTACTTGTCTTACCCAACAAGGGACTGGCACAAAATACTTTTCATAAAAAAATAGCGGCCTAAGGGCCTAGGGGTTACCATATGTGGCAGAAAGCCATGTATTGAAAATAAATCCATCATTATCTTTAAATACATGGAACGCCAGTTATTTAATTTGTTAGGAGCCTGTTTTAGCCTGTTTGGGCTGCTAAAACAAAGTAACACAAACCAGGTATCTCATAAACAACAGAAATTTATTTCTCACAGATCTGAAGACTGAAGTCCAAGATCAAGGTCTCGGAAAATTGGTTATCTGGTGAGGGACTGTTTCCTGGGTCACAAATGATACTTTCTCACTGGGTCCTCTCATGGCAGAAGGGGCAAATGAACTCTCTCAGACCTCGAAGAGGACTGATTCCATTCATGAGGACTCTGTCCTCATGACCCAATCATCCACAAATGCCCCCTCCTAGTACTATCACCTTGGGGGTTAGGTTTCAACTATGAATTTGGGGGGAATACATTCAGACCATAGCAGAGATGATGTTTTGATTCCAGATGCTTGAGTGACAGATATAACCAAAACAAAGAAAAAGTGCTGTGATCAAGAGAAAGTAGAGGCACATACTTGTGAATATAGCAAGTTAATTTTTTAACAATGTATATTCGTGTCTTTTTTATAAAAGCTCAGATTCCCAAAGCAGGATTGGTATTCACTTGTCTGTCTCTGTAACAAATATTTACTGAGTAGCTACTTGAGGGCCTAATATAGTAATTGCTTTGGGAGATACCATGGGTTGGAGAACAGGATTCCTGATTTGTAGAGCTTATAGTTATTTTAAGAGGAAAATGTATATTTCACAGACATGGCAGTATAGCCATGTAAGAGTATAGGCACTGGAGGCAGAAATTTACATTCGTAGTTTGTGTCAGTCATTTCCTATGTGTGTTACCTTGAGCAAACTGTTAAACTTTCCTGAGCCTCAGTTTCTTCGTCTATAAAATTGGTATGTACCTCAGAAATTACTATAAAGGTTAAATAAGATGATGCTTATTTAGCAGTGTGCTAAAAATACTGAACGTCATGCCTAGCACATAGTAAGCATATAATAAATGCTAGTGAATTCATAACAGTAATAACAATGATGAGGATAATAAATATTCTATGCATGTTCTATAATGCTTTAATATCAGAAATGTCTTCAGTTGTAAGTAACAGAATACACAACTATGGTGGCTTAAACAGATAAAGATTTATTAATCGAATAAGTCTGACATAGGCCACATTGAAAATTTATTATCAACAATTTTTATTGATAATCTGTATGCCAGCTACTATTCTAGGCACAAGGATTCATCCACTAACAAAATGCAGTTATTCCTGTCCTCATGAAGCTTACATTCTAATTGAGGAGAGAGATAAAAACAAACAAATAAAAAATGTAATATAAAAATGTAAGTTATTACCATGTTAGAAGGTGGGCTTCATAGAAAGCTTTGTGAAGGAGGGCCCATTTAAGTTAGGCCGTAAGGGAACAATCGAGTTTGAATAAATAAGGCTAGGTGAGAGAAAGACAACAGAGGAACAGATATGAGAAAAATGGAGGAGCCATTTTGATGACAGTACTGTGTTGGTCATCAGGTAGTCGTCAGGGGCCATGAACACAAGATTTCTGTAAGATTTCTAAAATAAAAATTACATGTTTCTACAATTTTTGATAGCTGTATTGTGTTTTATTGTATTGATATGCTATAATATAGATTGCTATATATAACACACAGATATGGATATAATAGATTAGTATGCACCATTATATACTGTATCTGTATGTTATTATGTGCTATATATGATTTATAATTACATATTATAATGTATTCAATGTTGGTATTGTAAACAGTGCTGCCACATATGGCAGTAGAGTAGTAAGTTAGTAAGGGCCAGCACATGGCAGAGAAAGACATGACATTTAAAGACTTGTTTCAGATATCCTTGCATCTTAAGGATCAATGACAATTTAAGAAAAACGAGGACTATTATACATCTAATAGAGTTTAATAAAATACCAAGTTGATATGTTTAGTAGTATCCTAATCTTGTGAGGGATTGAAGGTGTTTTCAAAATGTTAAATAGCAGTTAGTATTAATTTTTTAATTAATTAATTTGCAAAGTAGGTGAGTAGGTTAGTAACAGCACAACTATAACTTCAGGCATCAGAGAAGTTGCTTTTTCTCTCTTTGAGCTCTAGTCCAGAGAGTGAAACTTTGTTAAATAATTTACATTCAAAACTTGTGCTGGAGACCAGGAAATTTCCAAGATGTGTTTGTAGACTAAAAAGCCATGTGAGTAAAGAAATGAAATCACTAAAAAGTACATAAGAGGACATTTAAATCAGACTTATAAGTTCTGCTTGTGAGAGATAGCTTCTTGAAGGGAGGAAAGTATGCTTTCTTTGATTCCATGAAGCTCACTCTCAGCTATACCTGCTGCCTATCCACTGCATCTGAAAGTGTAATTTATCTAAGAAGTTGAATAAAACAAATTTCAAATGATAAAAAATTATTTCACCAGTCTTTAGGACTTCTACTTAAGGGTTCACAGAAGAAATAAATGTCATAGAAACTAGCATCAAGTTTTCTTCTTTTCTTGTTAAAGGTCTGTGGGAGAGAAGGTAAAAATAATCAAAATGTTTTTCTTTTATTTTAGTTATTCATGTTCTTTCTGTTTTAAGTTTTTGAAGATGAGCTAGCTGTAGGTTTATTGAATCACAGCTCTGACTTGACTTATACTGTTTCTAAGACTTGCGGATGTGTTTTTTTAAATGAGATAAAAAGATGAGAGAAGTAGTTACTGTAATTTTGTATTCTTCATAGTCATGGACTCACAGGGTCTTAGCTGTTCATTTAGTTTGCGACTACATTGTAAAGATGTGAAACTAAGGCTCAGAAATATTAACCACTGGTCCAGGTGGATTTAGCTAGCAGAACCAGGACCAGAAAATAAGTTTTCTGACTATTGGTCAATCCACCACTATTTTATGTAGAGTATAATCTCTGTAACTGAAAAAAAAATGTGTTGGATTATATGAAGTCCCTTTAAAAAGGTTTAGTTGGAAGTGAATCTCACTGAGTGTTCATTTTGAAAAGTGTGTCAGTAGTTAAGTTGCTTGACATAATTTTGTTGGAAGTCTGGGAGTTTACCAAAAAGTAGAAAGAGGATCCAGCCAGATGTTGTATAACAAGAAGGAATTGTGTTGAGCTTCTGTGGTTTTGACTCCTCAAGGATGAGAAAAAAAAAACTAGGTGAGAATAGATGAGCATTCTTCCTTTCTTTCCTTACATTTGTTGTTGATACTACCATTAGTTCTTTCCGTCTTCAAGATGTATAAATTGTTTATTAAACTATCTTTTGGCAAGGCTGTTTTGAAGTTCTTGACCAGGCCTGAGTCAGGCATGGCGAGTAGATTGACTTGATTTCTTCCAGGTGTAAAGTACCTAGGGGTATGCTGGGCCTCAGCATCAGTATGTTTAAATGCATGCCTTTAAGATATATTTAATCCTTAAAGAAGAGGTAATTACTGTCTAGGAGACTCTGGCCCAAAAATAGGACTTTATTTTGGTGTTACTGTGATAAGCCTGGTGGCTTAAAAGGAGAAAGCTTTCTAAATCTAATTTCTAAATCTCTTAGTGAGGTGAGACAGTGTGAATAAAATCTAGGGTCTCTGTTTTTGGAGAATTTACTCACTTCTTATATGAAGAATATTATTAAATTCTTCTTCTTTTTTTTTGAGACAAAATCTTGCTCTCTCACCTAGGCTGGAGTGCAGTGGTGCGATCTTGGCTCACTGCAACATCTGCCTCCCAGGTTGAAGTGATTATCTTGCCTCAGCCTCCCAAGTAGCTGGAATTATAGGTGCACGCCACCACACCCAGCTAATTTTGTATTTTTAGTAGAGATGGGGGTTTCACAATGTTGGCCATGCTGATCTTGAACTCCTGACCTCAGGTGATCCACCTGCCTCAGCCTCCCACAGTGCTGGGATTACAGGTGTGAGCCACTACACCCAGCCTAAAATCTTAAACTGGATGAATTAGGTTGAAATAAGTCCTTCCTTCCATTATGCTTAGATCTTTCCTTATGTTTATCTACCTTGGTGAATATAAATGTGGACTATTGAAGATAACTTAACTAGTGGAATTACCAGGTAGGTCTTATTACACCTCTTTCACTTTTATTATACCTGAGTTATACATAGTATTTCAAGGGCACTTGTGTAGTAGACACTATTGTCTTACTGGTGCTTTTGCATACTGTTTATAAACGAAGGAGATGTTTAATGTAACTATGTTGACTGAAGAATGAAGAGGGTCATAAACTTGGAAAGGAGAGCTTTATTTCTTAGAAAGGGTTGCAAGCTGCAGGGTGTTCATTCTGACAGGCTGGGAAGCAAAATGTCCCACCAGAAGTCGGAAATAGACAATTCCAGGGAGGGGCAAAGGGAATAGGAATTTATGCTGAGCCGGGTGGCCAAGTATATATGTTCAGTAAGCTCTAGGAGGCATCATGAATATTTATGGAAGGAGAAAACGTGCACATGTGCAATTGAGCTTCAGACCTCTCCATGGCATGGAACCCATGTCCAAAAAATGGTGGCATTAGCATAATCTCAGAGTGGAGTTTTTGGCCTTCTGACCAAAAGATGAAGCAGAGCACACAAAAACCTTTACTGTGCTTCCTCTGTAAACTGGCCAGAACCACTCTATATGGTTTAGCTGTGTCCTCCCAACCTAAATCTCATCTTGAGTTGTAGATCCCATGATCGCCTTATGTGGTGGGAGAGATCTGGTGGGAGGTAATTGAATCATGGGGGCAGTTACCTCCATGTTGTTCTCCTGATAGTGAGTTCTCATGAGATCTGATGGTTTTATAAGGAGCTCTCCTCTGCTCTTGCTCTATACTTCTCTTTGATGCCACCATGTGAAGGAAGGATGTGTTTGCTTCCTCTTCTGCCATGGTTGTAAGTTTCCTGAGGCCTTCCCAGCCATGCTGAACTGTGAGTCAGTGAAATCTCTTTCCTTTATAAATTACCCAGTCTTGGGTATGTCTTTATCAGCAGCGTGAGAACAGACTAATACACACTCCATGGTTGGTGGTCTCTTATCAGGAAGAAATGCTTCTGCTTAGTTGTTTCATTGAAACTGCAAAATGAAGGGGCAGCAGTCAGGCTATTGGTTGGAATCAGTGGTGGATCTTTTTTTTTTCTTAGAGATAGGGCCTCTGTCATCCAGGATTAAGCACTATGACCCAGTTATAACTCACTGTATCCTCTTAACTCTTAGGCCCAGGAAATCCTCCTTCCTTAGCCTCTTGAGGAGCTGGGACTACAGGCATGTGCCAGCATGCTTGACTAACCATTTTTATTTTTTGTAGAGACAGGGTCTTGCTGTTACCCAGACAGGTCTTGAACTCCTGGCCTCAAGTGATCTTTTTGCCTTGGCCTCTCAAAGTGATTGGGATTACAGATGTGAGCCACTGTGTGCAGCTAAAGTTCAGGTTATTAATTAACTAATTAATTAATTTAACAGACTCCACTGCCCAGGCTGGAGTACAATGACATGATCATGGTTCACTGCAATCTAAACCTCCTGGCTCAGGCAATCATCTTGCCTTGGCCTCCCAAAGTGCTGGGATTACAGACATGGGTCACAATGCCTAGCCTCAGGTTATTTAAAAAGTCGCTGATGGGAATGTGGAATAAAGAAAAATGTCATTCTCAGTGGTGAAGAGTGACTTGGGCACAATATGGAACTGATTCCCTGGCATGTTTTATTTGGGAAATACCAGGCAGACTATTTGGAGTTAAAACATTGGTTAAAGATAATGAAAAATAAAGTTGGGTTCAGTGTTATCAGATTAATGAGGAAGGCACGTTTTGGAGTATTTGTGTTTGCACAGTGCATTATTGTAAAATACATCTGTTATAGATAGTTCCTAGTTTGTAAAGCAATATTGTATTGTATAGTTGGGTTTATGTTCTGGTGATGACGTGATGAGTGACCAGTCATTTAACCTCTCTGAGATTGTCACTTCATCTGTTAAATTAGATGCTATAATCAGGCCTTATTATTTACCACCTTCTTCTGGTTTTTTCAGCAACTACTGATTGTACCGCATAGAATTTTGCGGCAGTTAAAACAGAGATTGTCTGTAAAGTATCTGCTACTGTGTTTGGCACATGTTAGGCACTTGCTACATTTAGGTTTAAATTTCAAAAGGGTGTTCTACCCATAGGAGCAGTCTGAACTTAGGTTTCTCTGTATTCTGTAGTGTAAATTGAGTGACACATTGAGTAGAATTTTACTTCCCAAATTCAAGGAACGATACACCAAGAAAAATGGCAATTTCTGTTCCTTTCCTGATCTAGCCCTTGATAAAAAGCTCATCTTTAGTAACTTTTAAAAAAAAGGGGTTTGGGGGGAATTCATGTGGAGGCCAGAGTGGAAGCAGGTGTGAGAGGGTCCAGCAGAAGAAAACATGGCTGCCAAAGTGTTTGAATCCATCGGCAAGTTTGGCCTGGCCTTAGCTGTTGCAGGAGGCCTGGTGAACTCTGCCTTGTATATAATGTGGATGCTGGGCACAGAGCTGTCATCTTTGACCGATTCCGTGGAGTACAGGACATTGTGGTACGGGAAGGAACTCACAATCTCATCCCGTGGGGACAGAAACCAATTATCTTTGACTGCCGTTCTCCACCACGTATGTCCCAGTCATCACTGGCAGCAAAAATTCACAGATTGTCAACATCACCCTGCGCATCCTCTTCCGGCCCGTCACTAGCCAGCTTTCTCGCATCTTCACCAGCATCAGAGGGAACCATGATGAGCATGTGCTGCCGTCCATCACTACCGAGATCCTCAAGTCAGTGGTGGTTCCCTTTGATGCTGGAGAACTAATCACCTGGGGAGAGCTGGTCTCCAGGCGGGTGAACGGCGACCTTACGGATCAAGCAGCCACCTTTGGGCTCATCCTGGACGACGTGTCCTTGACACATCTGACCTTTGGAAAGGAGTTCACAGAAGCGGTGGAAGCCAAGCAGGTGGCTCAGCAGGAAGCAGAGAAGGCCAGATTTGTGGTCAAAAAGGCTAAGCAGCAGAAAAAGGCAGCCATCATCTCTGCTGAGGGCAATTCCAAGGCAGCCAAGCTGATCACCAATGCCCTGGCCTCCGCAGGGGACGGCCTGATCGAGCTGCACAAGCTGGAAGCTACGGAGGATATCGCGTACCAGCTCTCAGACTCTCGGAATAGCACCTGCCTCGTGCTCTTCCAGCTGCCCCAGTGAGGGTCCACCCTGTCTGCACCTCCGCGGGCCAACTGTGCCACAGCCCCAGTGATTCTTAACACAGCCTTCCTTCTGTCCCCACCCCAGAAATCACTGAGCAATTTCACGATTGGCTTATTAAGTGAAGGAAATAAAGGTAAAACCCCTTCAGATCACTAAAAAAGAAAACGTGGGAGGATGGTTAAAAGAAATTCAAGTAAAATTCTGATTACATAAACATAACCACAATGTACAATTCAGGGGGGCTTTAGTACATTCACAGTGTTGTGCAGCTTTCATCTCTATCCAGTTTCAAGGCGTTTCCATCATTCCAAAAGGAAACCATATCCACTAAGCACTCTCTATTCTTCCTTCCACAGCCACTGGCAAGCACTAATCTGCTTGCTTTCTCTATGGACTTACTTATTTATTCTGGATGTTTTGTGTAAATAGAATACAGTGATGACCTTTTGTGTCTGGCTTCTTTCATTTAGAATGATGTTCATATATAGGGTTCATCCACACTGTAACATGTATCAGTAGTACTTCATCCCTTTTTGTGGCTGAATAAGACTCCATTATATGGATATACTACACTTTGTTTATCCAGCCATCATTTGTTGGACATTTGAGTTGTTTCTACCTTTTGGCTATTGGCAATGGTGCTGCTAAGAACATTCATATACAAGTTTCTCTTTGATTATTGGTCTTCAGTTTTGGGAGGTATATACCTAGGAGTGGAATTGCCAGGTCATATGGTAATTCTGTTGATCTTCTTGAGGAAATCCCAACCTGTTTCCCTTAGTGGCTGCCCCATTTTACATTTCTGGTGGCAGTTTACAAGGGCTTTAATTTCCCCACCAACACTTAATTTACATTTTAACAGATTACGGACAACCTTGTGGTTTTGATTTGCATTTCCCTAATAATGTTGAGCTTTTTTCATATACCTGTTGGCCATTTGTATATCCTCTTTGGATAAATGTCTATTCAAGTTCTTTGCCCAATTTTAAAACTAGATTGTCTTTTTGTTCTGAGTTGCACAAATTATTTATATATTCTAGATACTAAACCTTTATTAAATAAGTGATTTGCAAATGTTTTCTCTCATTCTATATATGGGTTGTTGTATCAGTCTGTTTTCACACTGCTGTAAAGAACTACCTATGACTGGGTCACTTATTTAAAAAAAAAAGAGGTTTAATTGACTCACAGTTCTGCATGGCCAGGAAGTCCTCAGGAAACTTAAAATCATGGTGGAAGGCAAAGGGGAAGCAAGATATGCCTTATATGGTGGCAGAGTAAGAGATCGAGGGGGGGGGGAACTGCCACACACTTGTAAACCATCAGACTCCTGAGAACTCACTCACTATCACAAGAACAGCATGAGGGAACCACCCCCATGATCCAGTCACCTCCTACCAGGATCTTCCCCTGACACATGGGGATTACAGTTGGAGATGGGTTTGGGTGGGGACGCAGAGCCAAACCATATCAGTTATCTTTTCCCTCTCTGGATAAAATCTTTTGATGTACAAAATAATTTGAGTTTTGACGAAGTCCATTTTACCTGCTTTTTCTTTTTTTTCTGTAGTTTTGATGTCATCACTAACCTTAGTGTTTTCTCTGTCTCTGTATCCCTTCTACTTTCTAGCATTCCTTGTCTAATTGCTAACATTTACTGAGGATTTACTATGTGCCAGGTCTCATTCTAAATACGTTACATACATTGTTCCATTTAATTTGCAAGGAGTCCAGTATAGTGGGTGCTATTATTAACATTTAATTGAATCTTGACTGACTCTGTGGGACAGATAGTTTTGTATTCACTTTACAAATAAAGAAACCGAGACAATAGAGGTTAACTATTGCTAGAGATTAACTCGCAATAGAGGTTAAATAGAGGTGGCCGAGTTGGGATTTGAATCTAGGCTTGAACCTTGCTGGTTTGATTTTAGTGCCCATGTTCTTAACACTCATATTGTATTTTCACTAAAATAGCAGAAGTCCTTCCATTGTGGTGTCTTACCAGGTCCTGTGATTCAAAAGTAGTAACTGCTTTGTTCCCAGTTAGAATTCCTGTTCTCATGAGGCCCCTTCCATATTACTCTTACATTTTGGGTATTCCCAGCAGAAGCCACAAGTAGTTCGAATCAGTTAGATCACACTGCAGCGTAAAGATTGATAGCCTTTTAATTCTTATACGTGGGTTTGCATTTTTAAAGAGGGTGTGGCATTAACCAAAATGAATCATTATTTGGAAGGGCTTTTAGTGAAAAAATCAGGCAGAAGGCATTTTTGGGTTATGGTGCCACCAAAAGGAATCACAGGGCCTTGCCTGGAAGTTGGCCTAGGGTAGTAACTGCCTTAAGCAAATCGTACACAGTTTCCTTTTGTTTTTCTGTTCTGGACCTGTAGATACTTGGAAGTGTTGTTGTTGTTGTTGTTTGGGTTTGCTAGGTTTTTAAGTGGCAAGTAGAACCGTCTCCAGTATCTTGTTGGGTCAAAAGAAGGGGAGTAAAGGGTAGAAGAGAGGTCTGCTCAGTGGGGAACCTGAAAAGGCTGAGTGGGAACAAGGAGCCTCTGTACTGGGACAGGACATTTGCAAACTGGGCATTGTCTTTCAGTAGTAATCTGTTCTTGAAGAAAGATGTGTGCTTCCTCATACCATGGGGTTATGGAAAATGTCCCCAATATCCAGATATATGCATAAACTAATATTTTTCTGTAAAATTATTTTTATAATATTAGGAGAACAAGTTAGAGTGGTCTTATATTGCATCACTTTCACTGTTTGTCTTTAATAAAAATGGAGGAAGTTGCTGCTGTTTTATTAACTTGCACCCTGCATGCTTCTCTTCTTTGTTCTTTGTTAAATATGAGCTGGCGTGTGTTAAGACTACGTCTGCATTTGCTCTCAGGGACTTCAGTGGTTTCTAAATTCAGCACTGCTAAGCCCCTACACTGCTTGCTTGAATCAATTGAGACTGCTATTTTTAGCAACAAAAGGGAATTGAAATAGCAATTTTCTTTCCATGTAATAGATTCCCAAGAGGAATACTGATGCAAGCTCTCTATCATTTTCTATTCCTACCGCCCTCTTCCCAAAGCACTCAGAGGAAAGGCAGCTGTCATGGTTTGCCGCAGTATTAATCTTTAATCAATTGAGTGTTTTCTGCATTCAGGTGTTCGGCGGGGGTGGGGGAAAGGGTCATAAGAAAGAACCTGCTTGGAATAACGAAGCTCTTAGGCATGGACTTTACAGTCAGAATTTTGTGGGTAGTGGCAGGGAATAGACAGAAGAGCTAAAAATAGTGAGTTTGCTTTCAGTGTTCCTCTAGTCTATTTTTGATGTTTGATTTTGATAAGGTTGATTGGGTTCTTACTAAAAATATCTGTTCCTAGCAAGTTGAGGACAAAAAGAGTAGAATATTTTTAACCTACACAGACTGAAGTATTTTTGTTGACTGTATAAAATCTGGAAGTGGAGCCCTGGTCAGTTGCCAGTATTTTATATAATCTGTAGCAAGCTAGACACTTCTGAATGCCAAGTTGGGCTATTCTTTATAGTTGTCGGTTTCCATCTTCTCAACGGCTTGTAAATTTGGGTGCTGGTGTTATATTTGTATATGAAGACATAAGCCTTTAAAAAAAAATCTTCCTCTTCCCCCTTCCCTTCTTTTCCTCCTCTACATTAGTGCTAGCTGTGACCATCATATGTACTGTCCGTATAGCTTTTTTCTGTATCTTGTTAAAAGTTACCTTAACTTATCACTTATTCCATGGCAAACCATGGCAAAATGGAATCTGAGGACATCCATGGTAAATGAAGAAGCAAAACTTAGTGACAAGAATAGTGAACTGTCACTACTTTGGTAATTTAGCATGTTTTACTAAACCAAAAGTGGTTAGTTTCCCGTTTGTCTAATTCTGTTTTAGATTAGTTCACTGGCACATTATGAGTGCAGTAGTTCTCCTTAGCACTGAAAACCATCACTTCTCTCTCTCTTTTTTTTTCTTCAACTTTTTTTTTTTTTTGAGACGGAGTTTCGCTCTTGTTACCCAGGCTGGAGTGCAATGGCGCAATCTCGGCTCACCGCAACCTCCGCCTCCTGAGTTCAGGCCATTCTCCTGCCTCAGCCTCCTGAGTAGCTGGGATTACAGGCACGCGCCACCATGCCCAGCTAATTTTTTGTATTTTTAGTAGAGACGGGGTTTCACCATGTTGATCAGGATGGTCTCGATCTGTTGACCTCGTGATCCACCCACCTCGGCCTCCCAAAGTGCTGGGATTACAGGCGTGAGCCACCGCGCCCGGCCTTTCTTCAACTTTTAAGTTCAGGAGTGCATGTGCAGGATGTGCAGGTTTGATACACAGGTAAACGTGTGCCATGGTGGTTTGCTGCATAGATCATCCCATCACCTAGGTATTAAGCTCAGCGCCCATTAGCTATTCTTCCTGATACTCTCCCTCCCCCAGCTCCTACCCTCTCCAACAGGCCCCAGTGTGTGTTGTTCTCTGAAAATCATCGCTTTTCAAGGACAGCCTCAGAATCCTTTGAAAGTGCAAATCTACAGGTTTATTATAAAGTTAAACTTATCTCTGTTAAATTTCTTGAAAATTTCACTTTTAGATCATTGATTCTTGATGTTGAGGGGAGGCTGAAGAGTGTATGGGGTTGTGATAAGATGTGGAAAAAGCAATGGGTAGAATCATAAAAGGTTACTTTTCCTTCATTAATTTACTCATCCATTCATACTGTAAAACCTCATTAATCACCTGCTTTTTGCCAGGTTCTGTTCTAGCAGACCGTGATGACCCAGATAGACCCTGCTCTTATAGAATCCTGCATGATGACTGTCTTTACGGTTGTCCAAAGGACCACCAGGATGGCTAGATAGTAGGAAAGAGAGTTTTATTGGCAATATCAGTTTGCAAAACAGAGAGTCTCCAGCATGAACCAAAAGCACTTTCTCCAAAGAACAAAGAAAACTAGAGGTTTTATAAAAAGGAGAAATGTTGACTTTCTGATCCAAGATGGCTGATCGCTAACAGCTCAGGATTGTAGCTCCCAGTGAAAGCACAGAGAACGAGAGGACGCCACACTTTCAGACGAATTTTCATTGCTCACGGACCAGAAGATTCCCAGTGGAGGGGCCCCACGGGTCACCAGTGCGACTCTTGTGGCCGGTGCAGTGGTTTTGCCGGCACCTCAGCGCAGCAGCTCTTCGTGCAGAGTAAACGGGAGGAGATTCCCGGGCAGAAGCTCACCATCAGTCTTAACGCCACTGTTTTGTCCGGCACAGTGGGTTGCTCGGATTCCAGTGCTGGGAATCAATAAACTGGGCGTCCACTCAGAAACCCAACTAGAAAGGCGGTAATTGTAAAGACGACAGATGGATAAATTTATAACAAAGGGAAGAAACCAGCCTAAAAAGGCTGAGAATACCCAAAATCAGAACCCCCCTCCCTCTACAGGGGATTACAGTTCCTCATCAGCAACGGAACAAGCCCTGATGGAAAAGGACTGTGTGCCATTAACAGAAGTAGACTTCAGAAGGTGGATGATAAGAAACTTCTGGAAGTTAAAAGAACTTGTTCTAACCCAATGTAAAGAAACTAAGAACTTTGAAAAAAGGTGTAACGAAATGCTAACAAGAATAGACAATATAGAGAGGAATATAAATGAACTAACGCAGTTGAAAAACACAACACGTAAACTTAGTGAAACATGCACAAGTTTGAATAGCCGAATTGATCAAGCAGAAGAAAGGATATCAGAGGTCAAAGACCTACTTAATGAAATAAAACGAGAAGACAAGAATAGAGAAAAAAGGATAAAAAGGAATGAGCAAAGTCTCCAAGAAATATGGGACTACGTGAAAAGACCTAATTTAGGTTTGATAGGTGTACCTGAATACGACGAAGAGAATGAATCCAAGCTGGAAAATACTCTTCAGGATATTATTCAGGAAAACTTTCCCAATCTAGCAAAGCAGGACAATATTCAACCCCAAGTAATACAGAGAACACCACAAAGATATTCCTCAAGAAGAGCAACCCCAAGGCACATAATCGTTAGATTCACCAGGGTTGAAACGAAGGAGAAAATACTAAGGGCAGCCAGAGAGAAAGGTCAGGTTACCCAAAAAGGGAAGCCTATTATACTTACAGCAGATCTCTCAGCAGAAACCCTACAAGCCAGAAGAGAGTGGGGGCCGATATTCAACATCCTTAAAGAACAGAACTTTCAGCCCAGAATTTCATATCCTGCCAAACTAAGCTTCACAATTGAAGGAAAAATAAAATCTTTTATGAACAAGCAAGTACTCAGAGATTTTCTTACCACCAGGCCTGCTTTACAAGAGCTTCTGAAAGAAGCATTAAACATAGAAAGGAACAACCAGTATTAGCCTTTCTAAAAATATACCAAAAAGTAAAGAGCATCAACATAAAGAAGAATTTACATCAACGAATGGATAAAACAGCCAGTTAACATCAAATGGCAGTAACCCTAAATTGAAGTCGACTAAATCCCCCAATCAAAAGATACAGCCAAAACCTAATGGTATGTTACATCCAGACCCATTTCACATCCAAAGATACCCAAAGACGCAAAACAAAGGGATGGAGAAAGATTTACCAACCAAATGGAGAGCAAAAATAAATAAATAAATGAAAAGCAGGAGTTGCAATTCTCGCATCTGATAAAATAGATTTCAAAGCAACAAAGATATAGTGGTAAAAGGATCAATGCAACAATAAGAGCTAACGATCCTAACACCCAGATACATAAGACCTATAAAGAGATTTAGACTCAACAAGACAGAAAATTAATAAGGATATCCAGGACTTGAACTCAGATTCGGAACAAGTAACTCAATAAATATTTATAGAGCTCTCCATTTTAAATACACAAAATATACATTCTGCACTTTAAATATACAAAATATTGATCGGCCATTATTAATACCCATTTTTAGAATAAAGCAATATTCCCAGTCTCTCTCCCTCTTTTTCTTCCTCTTTCTTCCTCTTCCTCACTCCTTTAAAAAAAAAAAAAAGAGGAGAAATGTTACCTGTTGCTCTTTGAGAAAGTTCACTGGCTTTGGATAAGGGTTTGGGGAGCTGGCAAGTCCTGATTGGTGAGCAACTGCTCAGGACAAAATTAATTCTAGAGTTGCAGCAAACATAGATAAAACTGGTGTCAGGTTACAACAAGCAGGTTCAGCTTGCCGAGAATTGCATTTCTGGAGCAATGTTTTGTACCCCAAGGGCTCCCCCTTCCCCCGCCCCCGGTTCTTCTCTCTGTTTCAGTTGGGTATGACAAGCATGACCCAACTCGTATGATCAACTTTCACAAAGGATGAGTACAGAGTACTCTGGAACAGGGATTCTGTATGACGTCCTAAGTTAGTCTAGAGGTCAAGGAAGGCTCAAGGGGAGAAGAGATGGTTTGAGTGAAAAAACCTCAAGAATGGGAGGGCAACACAGCTAGAAGTGTGTCTTAGTTCATTTGTGCTGCTATAATAAAATACCTAAAGAGCAGAACTGTATTTTTTCACAGTTTTGCATGCCAGGAAGTCCATCAGTGTGCCCACAGGTTCAGTTGTCTGGAGAGGGATACTGTGTGCTTCCAGGATGGCACCTTGTCTCTGCCTCCTTGGAATGCTGTGTCCTCATAGGGCAGAAGGCAGAAAAGCAAGTTGGCTGAAGGAACACTTCATTAAGATTCACTTATAAGGGCCTTAATTCTACTCACGAGGGAGGAGCCCTCATGGCTTAATCACCTCTGAATATCTCCACATCTTACTACTGTCACATGGGCCGGTTAAGTTTCAACACCTGACTTTTGGAAGGAACACATTCAAACCATAGCTGAGTGTATGCTGGAGGTGTAGGGAACATTTGTGAAGAGAAAACATGTTACCTTCTAGGAACTGGAAAAATTTCAGCACAACTGGGGCAGGCTTGAGTGGAAGGAGAAAAGTGGTAGGAATAGCTCGTAGAAGACCTTGTAAAGAATGAGGGGAGTGGGAAGCCAGTAACAGGTTTTAGGCAGGAAAGTGAAGTTCACATTTACATTTCGAGTGGTTGTTTTGGCTATGACATAGAGAATGAATTGGGGAGGAGTAAGAATGGGACCAGGTGAATGCCTTAGAAAGCTATTATAGTAGCTCTTGTGGGAGATGAATGATGGTAGCTCTAGGAGGTAGCAATGGGAAGAAGTGAATGAATTTGTTTCAGGCTTTATATAGTTGGCAAAAGGGAATTGTAACTTCTTGGCAGAGAAAAAATAGTGTTTGAGAAATAATTTTTAACTGGGTATAGCATGGATTGAGCGAGGAGGGATGAAAGATTCCTCACACAGGTTCTTGTGTTTGGGATGATAGCGTAGATTGGGGTAATAGTTGTCAGAAATAACTGGATGGTATCAGTGACATACCTTGAGCAAATATTTTTATGATGATGTGAATAATATTTTGTTTTCATAATTTATTTTGTTGACAGTTTTATGCTTGCTTTTCTGGGCCTATCATAGTTACTTTAATAAGACAGAAGTTTATTTTTCACCCACTTTAAAGACTAGAACTTTTGTGTATGTTAGATTCTTTTTTTTTTGAGATGGAGTTTCGCTCTTGTTACTCAGGCTGGAGTGCAATGGCGCGATCTCGGCTCAACGCAACCTCCGCCTCCTGGGTTCAGGCAATTCTCCTGCCTCAGCCTCCTGAGTAGCTGGGATTACAGGCATGCGCCACCATGCCCAGCTAATTTTTTGTATTTTTAGCAGAGATGGGGTTTCACCATGTTGACCAGGATGGTCACGATCTCTTGACCTCGTGATCCACCCGTCTCGGCCTGTATGTTAGATTCTTTATGACAAGCAGTAAAAGAAGAAATAATTGGGATTTTAAAGTGGCGTGATATAATTCTGTGGTATCAGGGACCTTGATTCCTATGATACTGTTCCATTATCTTAGCCCATGGCTTCAACCCTTAAGATTATTTCATGGTTTTAAGAGACTGCTCCAGCTCCAGCTATCATTTTAGAATTGACTCGATGAAGGGCAAAAGAGACCTCTCTCTGCCAAGTCAGCTTCAGTTAAGCAGACTATCTGAAAGTCCTTCACAACCCTGCTTCATCTTGTTCCCTAAAATTAATCACATGGCCACTCCTAGCCGATATATAAGTCTTTATTCCAGGCCGCAATATGCTGGGTTTAAAGTCAGTGTTCTCTTGCAAAGGAAGAAGGGAAGAATGGATATTAAGGAAGGCAACCAGCAGGCTCTGGCCCACTTGTGCATTTAACACATGAAGGATGGCGTCCCCAGAGAAGATTTTGCACATTGGATGTTATCATTTCAGTGTTTCTGTGAATGCTTAGTTTTTTCATTTTGAGAAACTACAAAAGGCCAGTCATGTGCTTTTAATCCCAGCTTGTAATCCCAGCACTTTGGGAGGCTGAGGCTGATGGATCACGTAAGGTCAGGAGTTCAAGACCAGCCTGACCAACACAGTGAAACCCTGTTTCTATTAAAAATACAAAAATTAGCCGGGTGTGGTGGCACATGCCTGTGGTCCCCAGCTACTCGGGAGGCTGAGGCAGGAGAATTGCTTGAACCTAGGAGGTGGAGGTTGCGGTAAGCCGAGATCATGCTACCACTGCATTCCAGCCTGAGCAACAGAGTGAGACTCTGTCTCAACAACAACAAAAAAAAACACAGAAAACAAAACACACACACACACAAACACACACAAAAACAAGCAGTATTTCCGATTTGGATGACTTGGAAGCTGGTTTTTGTTTTATTTGGTTTTCATGATATTATATGGGTCTGAGTGTTTAGATCAGTGTTTCCCAAAGATGAACCAAGAGATGATCTTAGGTACTACATAGATTAATATTTTAAAATTTTGACATTTATATGTTTTTTACACTAATAGTCTATGTTAATTGAAACTGATGGTCCTTTATAAGAAGTATATTAAATTTTCTATTAAATTTTTCAGTTTTAAGAAAACTTAAGTGACCTTGAGAAACACTAATTTTTTTTTCTTTTTTTGTTGGGGGGACAGAGTTTTGCTCTTGTTACCTCAGCTTGGGTGCAATGGGCACAATCTTGACTCACTGCAACCTCTGCCTCTGAGTTCAAGTGATTCTCCTGCCTCATCCTCCTGAGTAGTGGCAGGCATGCGCCACCACGCCCGACTAACTTTTTGTATTTTTAGTAGAGACAGGTTTTCTCCATATTGGTCAGGCTGGTCTCGAACTCCTGACCTCAAGTGATTTGTCTGCCTCGGCTTCCCAAGTGAACCACTGTGCCAGGCCAAGAAATACTGATTTAAGCAATACCAGCCTGATTTTGGGAAATTGAAGTAGATGAGTCTGCTGGCTCAGTTACACCATTTTTCTATTCATAGTAGGAAAGGCTTTTTTTTTTTTTTTTTTTTGCAGTGGCGCAGTCTCAGCTCACTGCAACCTTGGCCTCTCGGGTTCAAGCAATGCTCCTGCCTCAGCCTCCCAAGTAGCTGGGATTCCAGGTGCCTGCCACCATGCTCGGCTAATTTTTTTTATTTTAGTAGAGATAGGGTTTCACTGTGTTGCCCAGGCTGGTCTCCAATTCCTGACCTCGTGATCCACCCAGCTCTGCTCCCCGTTCTGGGATTACAGGCATGAGCCACTGCGCCTGGCCACAAAGGACTTAAAAAAAAATGCAGTACATGCACATAGTTAAAAAATGCAAAGAGTAAAAATAACTATAAAAATTAATCTCTTTCCCATCTTTCCCTAATTCCCCAGAAGCAACTACCAACAGACGTTTGATTTGAGATGGTACGCTTTGGTTTACCTTTCCGAAATTTATGATGAAGAATTGACTCCCAGACAATACAGTTTCACTTTAATAGTGAAAAGTCACACTATTATTTTATAAAAATAAGAAATTATTGAACTTGATTGAGGAATTTTCTATTCAACTACAGGTGCTATCTTTACTACTACTGTTGGGAAGATACATAGCTTTAAAGTAAAGGAAATGTCTTTTTTTCTTTTTTAATTGAGACAGGATCTCACTGTCACTGAGGTTGGAGTACAGTGGTGTAATCATAACTGACTTCATCCTCAACTTCCTGGGCTAAGAGGATCTTCCTGCCTCAGTTTCCTGAGTAGCTGGGACTATAGGCGTGTGCCACCACACTGGGTGATTTTCTTGAGTTTTTTTGTTTTTTAGATAGAAATGGGTTTCACTATGTTGCCCAGGCTGGTCTTGAATTCCTGGGGTCAAGCAGTCCTCCTACCTTAGCCTCCCAAAGTGTTAGGATGAGCCAGTGCACCCCATGGAAATACCTTTAAAACCAAAAGCAGGACAATTCTTGTTCCCACTCTCTTAAATAAACGCATCTGAATCTTTTTCATGTTTGTTGAGTAAGACTTTTTCTTTCATAACTGACTGAAATTTGGTTATGTTTGTACATTATTGCAAATATAATACATTAACCATCATGTAACTTGCAGATGTAAAGGCTTTGTCATTTCCTTTGCTGGGGAAATGATACTTGGTCTCCCACTGCCTGACCACTGTATATAATACTAATTATTGTAGAAATACAGTGGTGCTATAGAGATGGCTAAGAGAGGCTCTTGATTTCAGTTTTTTTTTTAATGCCCTTAAATAATTTTTTGCACTTCTCTGTTTTCTCAGAAAAAATATTTACTTGTGAGGTAATGTTACACGTAACTGGGCAGTGTTGGAGTTGGTTTTGAGAAGTATGAGAAAATGGAAAAGTGATATTTTTATCTATCTAAAATATCAGAGGTTACATTTTTAATATTTGTACAACGTAAAGTCATATTGTTTCTGCTTACATTTAAAGTCCTAGCCATGAAATGGGTAATTTATGGAATATCTAATATTGAGTGTGGCCCATATACATCATTGTATTCTCGATAGTCATACACATAATAGTTTCTGAAGACTTAGTTTCATTTGAATTTGATAGTTGCTAGCAGGAGATAGGAAAAAGTGTTCTTGCTGGGCATAAATCTTTCTAAGTGTGTTTATTATCATTTCTCAACTAAAGTTAGTCTACTTTGGTATGATATGCTTAAGAGGAAACTTGAGTGCTTCTAGTTTTAAAATGATGAGGCAGCAATACTTTTGGCCTTTCATCTCTTGGAAATGTTCTCTAAAAGTTAGAAGGATAAGAAATGGAAAGCTTCATTTTGATGCAGCTAGGGAACTTCTGTCATCCCTCATCCCCAGTCACAGCTATTGAAGGCGGTGGAGTGGTAACTGACTTCCAGAGCAGACACTGAGTCCTCATAGTGGGGCCACCATTGGGAAACAAGCAAGTTTGTCCCTTGGATCCCAGAACAACACAGAAATTGGATATATCAGGTACCTCAAAAGACAGGGGTGGAGCAGATGTCCTTGAGGCTCAGGAAAATTAAGCAGCAGAGGCCCCAAGGTGAGACACTTGAGTGAGAACAAAGGATGACATCTGCAAACTAATAATTGCCCACAGCCAGTAGACTGGAAATTAGGGAATGCTTTTTAAGAGACACTGAAGGACCCCAGAGAAGAGATAGATACTGACAATATTGGTTCATGTGTATGTGAGGTATATTCAGGAGTATTCTCAGGAATAACACCTGTGAGGACTTTTGTGGATTCCCCAGTGAAAAAGCTGACTTGCCCACCGGTTGGGTGGTAGTGAGGGCTACGGTGTAATCACCCCACCTATACACTCTAATCGACATTTTAATGCAGCCAAGATGAGAGTGACAGTGACCAAAACAATCAAGAAAGAACTTAGAGGAACAAAATATAAACAGTAGAAGAAATTGGGAGGGTGAGGTGGGCGGATCACGAGGTCAAGACATCAAGACCATCCTGGCCAACATGGTGAAACCTCGTCTCTACTAAAAATTCAAAAAAATTAGCCAGGCGTGGTGGCACGCGCCTGTGGTCCAAACTACTCGGGAGGCTGAGGCCGAAGAATCGCTTGAACCTAGAAGGCAGAGGTTGCAGTGAGCCGAGACTGCGCCACTGTACTCCAGCCTGGTGACAGAGCAAGACTCCGTCTCAAAAAAAAGAGTCGAAGAAAATGTAAATATGTAAGCAAACTATAATTAATGTCCTCAGAGATTAGAAAATGGATCTATAGTAATAACAAGATACTGTTAAAAACGAGAAAGAGCGAGAATGTGCAGAAGAGCAGTAGGAATATGGAAGATTCTTCAAATTAGAAAAATTGACAGCCTACATTTAAAAAGTACATAGATGGTTTGGAGGATAAAGTTGAAGAAATTTACAGGAAAATAGAGCAAAAAGAAAAGTAAGATTAATAGAGAAACTATTAAGTCCAAATTCTGATTTATAGAAATTCTAGGAAGAGAAAAATGTGAGGCAGATGTTATCTAACAGTTAACATGAGAAACTCTTCAAATAACTGAAGATCATGAATTTTAAGGCCTACCAATGCCTAGCACCAGTAAATGGAAAAACACCCACTCATTTGGGTATATTTTCATGATGGAGTCCTACAGACTAAGTAATGATTCTAAAAGCCCCAGTGACAAAAAAAGCAGATTACATACAAATAGTGGGAAATAAGAATGGTGAAACATTTAAAAGTGATACTTGTGTTAGAAGACAGTGGAGAGTTGTCTAAAATTTTTTTGTTAAAAATGATTTCCTGCTTATAATTATATACCCAGCTAAGCTATTATATGTGTGGTTAGAAAATAGACTTTTTACAAAAAGATACACAAAATTAGACAGTGTTGTATTTTAAACTGTCATATAAGGAGACATGATGACTAAATGTGATGTGATTCCCTGGATGGGATCCTAGATCAGAAAAAGGACATTCAGTAACAAATAAGAAAATCTGAAAAAGATAGGACTTTTGTTAATTTTATCAGTATTGGTTCATGTGTATGTGAGGTGTATTCAGGAAGATTCTCAGGAATAACACCTGTGAGGAAGCAAAAGAAGCAGAATTGAGCGGAGGGAGAAGTCAAACTATGATGCAAGTGTAGCGAAGGTTGTAGCTGATACCATTGGCCCTGAATGTAGGATGGCCCTAGAGAGATGCCTAAGGTGAGGTAAGGGAACCCACCTTGTCCCTGAGTGTGGCCTCGCCATTAGACGTGTACTGCCCAGGGGAGCAAGGCAGCCCCCTTTGGCTGAGAGCAGTTACTGGGAGAGACTCAGTCCTGAGCTGGCAGCAGGTAACACTCCTGGCAATAGAGGATCGAATGAGTACCTGTGTGCTGGAAGGAAGGATCTGGCTGGTGCACTAACAGTATCCATTACAAACTCCAGCAACTGGAGAATCTGGAAAAGGAAGACATTATACAATGCAGATTTCAGAATCTCTAGACCTGGCATATTCTGGCCTAAGAATGTTTTTAGTTTTATGGTATGCTGGTTTTTATATCAGCCCAGAGATGGCTATTTTAAAAATGAATACACAGATTAACAGTTATCTGTATTCTTTTGAAATAGATTCCAGACAAATTTTTAGATGCAGAGTACTGAGTGACTTTACGTAGTTTCATTCTTCGGCATAGTCTCATTAAGAGATTTTTGAGCTCTTAATCTGAGAAATCTGATGCTACCGCCATCAACTTATTGCTATGCTCATGTATAGTCATATGTCGCTTAATGTTAGGGATACACTCTGAGAAATGCGTTGCTAGGCAATTTTGTTGTTGTGTAAGCATCAACAGAGTTGATGCTTCTACAAACCTAGATGGTTTAACCTACGGTACATACCTAGGTTATATGGTATGGCTCATAACTCCTAGGCTACAAATCTATATATAATAGCATGTTACTGTGCTGAATACTATAGGCAATTGTAACACAGTGGTAAGTATTTGTGTATCTAAATATATCCAAACATAGAAAAAGTACTCAGTGAAAATATGGTACAAAAGATTAAAAAAGCCAAGCATAGTGTCTCATGCCTATAATTCCAGCCTTTGTAAGGCCGAGGTGGGAGCATTGCTGGAGTCCATGAGTTCAACATAGCAAGACCTGGTCTTTATAGGGAAAAAAAAAGTTGGTCAGGTATGGTAGCACGTGCCTGTAGCTCTATGGGAGGCTAAGGTAAGGATTACATGAGCCCAAGAGTGAGAGGCTGCAGTGACCTATTGTCACACCATTGTACTCCAGTCTGGGTGACAGAGCAAGACCCTGACTCCTAAAAATAAGCAAAAGATTAAAAATGGCACATCTGTGTAGGACACTTACTGTGAATGGAACTTGCAGGACTGGAGTTTCTCTGGGTGAGTGAGTGAGTGGTGAGTGAATGCGAAGGCCTACAATGTTACTGTGCACTGCTGTAGATTTCAGAAACACAATACTTGGGCTATATTGACTTTATTTTAATAAAAACATCAAAAAAAATTTTTCTTTGATAATAAATTAGCTTGCTATAACCCTTTTACTTTATAAATTTATATTGCTTATTTTTTGGACTCTTGTAATAACACTTAGCTTAAAAAAGAAACATTGTATACTGTACAAAAAATCTTCATTATATGCTTATTCTATTTTTAAAATTTAAATTTTTATTTTTTACTTTTAAGCTTTTTTGTTAAAAACAAAGATACAAAACATACACATTGGCCTGGGCCTACACCAGGTCAGGATCCTCAATATCAGTGTTTTTCACCTCCACATCTTGTCCCATTGGAAGGTGTTCAGACACAATCACATACACAGAGCTGCTATCTCCTATGATAGCAGTGCCTTCTTCTGCACTATCTCCTGAAGGACCTGCCTGAGGCTGTTTACAGTTAACTTTTCTTTCTATAAAGCAGAAGCAGTACACTATATTGTTAAAATGTATGGTATTATAGTAAATACATAACCTAGTAGCATAGTTGTTTATTATTATCAAGCTACATATATATGTATACATATATGTATGTATACTATACATATACATAATACATACATATATATATTATATAATCGTATGTGCTCTACTTTTCTATCACTAGGTTTGTTTACATCAGCATGACCACAAACACATGATTAATGCATTCCATTATGACAGCTACTAGGTGATAGGAATTGTTCAGCTCCATTTTAATCTTATGGGACCAGAGCCGTATATGTGGTCCATTGCTGACAGAAGCATTATTATGAGCTCATGACTGTATGTGGTTTTCTTGCTTCACAGTTGTAGGCTTAAAGCAGAATAATCTAGTTACGAACAGGATTTGTAAATAGGTCAGTGGCTAATAGATGTTAGTGTAGGAAAGTGTAAGATACTATACTTATAAATAAAGACTTTTGAGAAACAAGGTTGTCAGGAAAGCAGCCCAAGTCTTGTGTGTGTTCGCAGTTTTTTAGACCAATTAAATGCCGATCATCATTCAAACACTCTGCATATGTCTATGGAATACTTACCTTGTGCACGTTGCCTAGCAAGGAGCCTAGCATCTTACAGAAGAATTAAGACATGTAGATGTAAGGAAACACAATTCAAAATAGAGTGGTATGGTGCCATAGACATAAAGGTGTGTCAAGTGCTGTGGGAGTTTAGCAAAAGGAAGTTTCTTTCATGTAAAGTGATCTAGAACAGTGGAGTTGGTGGATCTGCAATGAGGCTTTGATGGAAGAGGGTAGGAGGTGAGGTTCTGGGATCTTGGAGAGGGGAGAAAAGTTTATCACAGAGAAAAGGAACAGGAAAAAATTTGAAACAATTAGAATATGTTTATCGATCACTTGTGAAACATTGGTGAATCAGTAACAAGGATACACTATAAAATTTGGATTCCTGTGCCTCTAAAAACAGTCAGGAGATGAAAAGTTACAGAAAATTATGTCCATTGCTGTACTATTAACAATAGCAAAGGCATGGAATCAGACCAGGTGCCCATCAGTGGTAGATTGGATAAAGAAAATATGGTACATATATACTATGGAATACTCCATAGCCATAAAAAAGAATAAAATCATGTCCTTTGCAGCAACATAGATTAAGCTAGACACCATAATCTTAAGCAAATTAACACAGCAACAAAAGACCAAACACTGCGTGTTCTCACTTACAAGTGGGAGCTAAACATTGAGCACCCATGGACATAAATATGGGAACAGTAGACACTGTGGTCTACTAGCGGGTGGAGGGAAAGGGGGTGAGTTGAAAAGCCACCCATTGGGTACTATCCTCACTACCTGGGTGGTGGGATATATACCCCAAACCTCAGCATCAAGGAATATGCCCATGTAACAAACCTACACACATACCCCCATATCTAAAATAAAAGTTGAAATTTAAAAAAAAAGAAAAAGGTTACAAATTGATCATGAGGTTGGAGGAGATTTCATATAATTCTCAGTTTTCTGTAGTTAGGTTCTCCCACAAACGTTTAAATCTGTGCGTTACTAATGTTTCTTATAAACAGAACAATAGTGACAAAAACACATGGGTTACCTTTGGAAGATGCCAGAGAACCAATTTATTTTGAAAACTGATAAAGGCCAAAAAAAAAAAAAAATCAAATGTTTTTCTTGTATTCTTACACAAGCTATATATCATGGTAACTAACTAATGAGAAATAATTTGTCTCTGGAAATAGTCCAGCTAATAGATGAAGATGAATGATTGAACTCTAATACCACCGTTTTGCAATCCCTAATGAAATAATGGATCTCAGTGGTGACCAGCAGTGGCTGCTAATATAACAAAACGAAAGATAACCAGACATATGCTTCCTGATGTAAAAATGCATTATCCCTTATGAAGTACTCTTACCAAAAAAATCAAACCTGAATTTGATCCAGTATCTATATCCAGCCTCCAAGGGACAGAGAATATGTTAAATGATATCAAAGACAGGCTAAGAAAGCACAAACCTTTGACTTAATATCTTAAACCAATAAATTGAGAGAGTGAAGTGGGGAGAGAGGAAAGTGATTATAGACATGGTTAATTAACATATTAGGAAATTTTATTATGGAACCTATTGAATCCTGATTAGAGCAATTGTTAAAAGTTTTTTGAAATTTGGCAGAATTTATAGTGATTACATATTTGGTATCAAGGAATTGTTATTTACAATGTTAGGAATGAGATAATGGTATTGTGGCTATCTTTAATAGCAGAAACAAATGGTAATAGTTAAGAATGAAGTGATATGATGCCTTTACTTCGAAATAATCCAGTGTGGGAGGAAGCAGGTGAGGGTATTAGATGAAGCAAGGTTAATCTCTCAAGTGTTTCATTGGTGAAGCTGGGCTCTAGGAACCTGGGAGTTTGTTAAACTTGTTCTCTGGAAATTTCAACTTTTTTTTTTGTTTCGAGATGGAGTTTCACACTGTCACTGGGGCTGGAGTGCAGTGGCATGCTCTGGGCTCACTGCAACCCTGCCTCCCAGGTTCAAGTGATTCTCTTTGCCTCAGCCTCCCAAGTAGCTGGGATTACAGGCACCCGCCACTATGCCCAGCTAATATTTTTGTATTTTTAGTAGAGATGGGATTTCACTATGTTGACCAGGCTGGTCTCAAACTTGTGACCTCATGATCTGCCCAGCTTGGCCTCCCAAAATGCTGGGATTATAGGTGTGAGCCACTGCACCTGGCCTATTATGACATTTTTATTTATTTATTTATTTATTTTAAATCATGGGAAGATATCAGCTAAGCAAGAACATGATGGATGTCTATGAGATTATGAGAGACATGGCAAGGGAGAATATGAATGTGTTTACCACTTTTCTGAATAGTAAAATTAGGGACCATCTTGTATAATTTAAAAGAAGTGGACAATACAAGAAAATTCTTCTTGACCTTGTAACTTGTTTTTTAAAATCGGTAAATGTTTTGGGAAAACTCATATTTAGAGAATTTGAAGAGTCATTCCTTTTTGAAGCAGACATCTATGCTTTAAACTTGTAACATGATTCTAGTATTCCAGAGCTAAGCTATCATGTGTAGCCTGGCCTATTATAATTTTCAAATGTTTCTGTTACATAAAGTTTTTGAGGTTGTAAGGTAAATATGGTTTCTCCACAAGAACAGGAAACCAAACACTGCATGTTCTCACTCATAAATGGGAGTTGAACAATGAGAACACATAGACACACACCCGGGCCTGTCTGGGAGAGTGGGTATATGGGGAGGGATAACATTAGGAGAAATGCCTAATGTAGATGACAGGGTGATGGATGCAGCAAACTGCCATGTTATATATATATAACTATGTAACAAACCTGCACATTCTACACATGTACCCCAGAACTTGAAGTATAATAAATAAATAAATAAAATGTAAAAAGGTTTATTCTACAAGGCACATACATTTCTGTTTGAGAGAACAATAAGCTTATTATGAAAAGTATACTGACATGGGATTCAAAATATTTCGAATCCCAAATCTTTTCTTCTGAATGTACTAGACATGAGCCAGTCCTAAAAAAAAAAAAAAGATAGCCTGATGCCCTTTTCAGCCTCAGCCCACCTGTACCCAGGTGAATAAAAATAAATAAATAAATATTTTAAAAAATATAAATATGGTTTCTCATGGAATAATTAAATTATTTTCTATTTACTTTTACTACCCGTTGTTTTAAAAACTAGTTTATGAAGATATATATAATAAGGTACACACTTAGCTGTACCTAAGTGTGCGGCTCAGTGAGTCTATACACACACAGTGGTAACTGCCACCCTAAAAAGATACAGAATATTTCCTGTATCCTGGAAGATTCCTGTATTGCCCTTTCCTGTTATCTACTCTGCTATCCAGAGGTAACCAATATTCTGATTTCTATCACCATAGATTAGTTTTGCTTTTTCTTGAAGTTACATTTTATGTCAGGCTTTTGTTATGTCTTAGAGATTCATTCATGTTTTGCTTATATCAGTAGTTTATTTTTCTTGCTGTTTCCTATTCCATTGTTTGTCTCTATCGCAATTTACTTATTCTTCTGTAGGTTAATATTTAGTTGTATTTACCTACTGTGCACCAACTAAGCTACTATGAACATTCTTTGGGTAGACATTAATGCATTCCTATCTCTTGAGAATTGATGGGTCATAAGGCAGGCATATTTTTAGTTCTAAACATATTGGCAAATAGTATTTTCCAAAATAGTTGTACCAACTTTACAGTGCCACCAGCAATGTATGCGAGTTCCACTTGCTCCACATTCCTTTTTAACACTTGATTTTGAAGTCTTTTTAAAATTTTAGCTACTGCAGTGTGCATTCAGTCCTCGATTTGAACCATTGGAACTGTTCTGTCTTTTACATCAAGATAATCTATCACACTGGTTCTCTTGTATGTGATTGCTGGGTCCTAACTATGACGAATTCTTCATTGCAATTCTTAGACTAAACTATCGCTTTTTTTCCCTTTCCCAGTTGTCACAGGTAGTACTGATGGAATTGGAAAATCATATGCAGAAGAGGTAGGTGATTTTTAAGATCTTTCCTTTCAATATAAAAAATAAGAATAAAATAGGATGATTTCTTATAGTAGTTTTGATTTTTGAAGTATAAACACAAATATAATGTTGTATGGTACAATAGATGCTTTTTGTTTCTACCTTGTTGGAAATACCATATTTGCTTAAACAGACACAATTTTTTGAAACAAATTTCTATGTAAAATAAGTATAAAACTTTCTGGTTGTATTGGTTACTTGGAACTGGGAACAATTTAATATACTTTCATGTTATATCATGCAAGTGTGTACAGTCTTCAGATTCAAAAGTCAATTATTTTGAACTATTTTCTGAAAAATAGAAATATTATTATAGGTGGTGATATTTCTAGGCTAGTCCATGCCATCATTTTCACAAGAAGGACTGTGATTAACAGAAAGGTATTGATAGATACAGGCAGAGGATCAAGTTCTCTGCAATGAAATTAAAGAACAGGAAAGCATCATAGTTTAAAGACGGTTGTCTAAAGCAGGAGCTGTGGCAGTATTCTTTAGGCAAGTTTCCCTGCCTTCTGGTTCCTGAGAAGGCACCTGCAGCCTATGATGAAATGATCTGTAACAGTGGAATGATTCTGATAAAGATCCCAGCAGATTCATTGGATCTTTCCTTGATCATTATCAAAAGGTCTTTTTGTTAATTTTAATTTTTCCAGTTTTTTATTTGGAAGAATATCAAAACTACAGAAAAGTTGCAAGAATATTGCCAACACCTATATACTCTTCACCTGGAGTCACTAATGGTTAATATTTGGAACATATAATTTACTTATTATTATTTGGCTGAACCATTTGTAAGTTAGTTACAGAAATTACAGTTCACCCCTAAATATTCCAGGATGAATATTCTAAGAACTAAAACATTCACCCGGATAATCCCAATACATTGGTCATAATAGGAAGTTTAACTTGACACAATACTCTTGTATAACGTACAGCCCGTATGCAGGTATACAGTTGCCCAATACATCCTTTTAAGCTCTTTTTCTTAATTGTTATTTTTCCAAGTGTTCCAAGATCCAGGTAAGGATTATGCATTGCATTTGGTGTCATGTCTCTTAGTCTCCATTAATCTAAAAGAGTAACTTAGCCTTATTTTTCTTTTATAAGAATGCCATTTTTGAGAAATCCAGGTTAGTTGTTTTGCAGGCAAATTTGGATTTGTCTCATTGTTTTCCCATTAGATTCAGGATAAACATTTTTTCATCAGGAAGGCTACACAGGTTTATCCTTCTGAGTTCATCAGGAGGCATAAGAAGTCTCATTTGTTCCATTATTGATTATAAAAGGTGATTAATAAGGAATATGTGGGATGACACTTTGAGATTGTATAAATATATTATTTCCCAACAATCTTTTATCCAATGATGTTAGGATTAATTGGAAATTTTTGCTTAGATGGATTATTACCATGGTGCTTAAAAAATGGTGATTTTTTTTTACTGGGTTTGGTAGCTCACGCCTGTAATCCTAGCACTTTGGGAGGCTGAGGCGGGTGGATCACCTGATGTCAGGAGTTCAAGACCAGCCTGGCCAAAATGGTGAAAGCCTGTCTCTACTAAAAATACAAAAATTAGCTGGCTGTGGTGGCAGGTGCCACTCAGGAGGCTGAGGCAAGAGAATCACTTGAACCCAGGAAGCTGAGGTTGCAGTGAGCCGAGATTGCGCCAGTGTACTCCAGCCTGGGTGACAGAGTGAGACTCCATCTCAAAACAAACAAACAAAAAAAAATGGTGATTTTTTTTTTTCTAATATCTCTCCTTCTACATTTATTAAGATGGTATTTTTCTATAGAAGCTTTTTCTTATTCCTTTTCCCCTATTAATTTTTTTTTAAAGAAGGTATCAGTATGGGCTAATTGTTTTTGTAGTGGTATTATAGCAGATTAATTTTGCAAATCATCACCAACATTTTCATTTTTATAAAAAATGTTCTTCCATAGCTTCATTTGCAATATTACTCACTACTTAATACACCCCGACTTTAGGATTTAAGACTGGAATATTAGTTTGCTAAATCACTTTTAGTTCATAGCACCTAATTTATTGCTTATTTATTTTCCGTCTAGAATATTTCACTAAATAGTTCTATATAGATTAGTGCTTTTTTTTCCTCTACTAGTCTATGTGTCCTGGGATAGTAACCACATTTGTGTAAGTCTTTTTCATTATGTACAGCACTTACACATACTGGGGTATGTACATAGATGTTCCTCAGGAAATTTTTTTTTTTTTTTTGAGACAGAGTTTCTTTCTGTCACCAGGTTGGAGTGCAGTGGCATGATCTTGGTGCACTGCAACCTCCCACTCCCTGGTTTAAGCGATTCTTCTGCCTCAGCCTCCCGAGTAGCTGGGATTATAGGCACGTGCCACCACGCCCAGCTAATTTTTTGTAGTTTTAGTAGAGACGGAGTTTCACCATGTTGGCCAGGATGGTCTTGATCTCCTGACCTTGTGATCCGCCTGCCTTGGCCTCCTAAAGTGCGGGGATTACAGGCATGAGCCACCACACTTGGCCTAGGAAAATTCTTTATTAATTTATTCAATTAACTTCTTTAGTTTGCCATGGTCCATAAAGTATAATGCTCAAATTAAAAATTTGAAAATCATTATATTTTTAGGAATGTTTAACATTTTAATGGTAGTTTTCTTTGCCAGTCCTCTGATGTTTGTTTTATATATCCATTCTGTAACAAAACATTTTTTTTTTTCTGGAGACAAGGTCTTGCTCTGTTGCAAGCTGAAGTGTAGTGGTGCAGTCATGGCTCAATGTAGTCTAGACTTCTGGGCTCAGGTGATCCTCTCACCTCAGCCTCCTGAGTAGCTGGAACTATAGCTGTGTGCCACCACACCCAGATAATTTACAAAAAAATATTTTTTTTTTGTTAAATTGTTTGTAGAGATGGGATGGTTTTGGGCTCCTGGGTTTAAGCAGTTCTCCCACTTCAGCTTCCTCAAATGCTGGGATTACAGGCATGAACCACTGTGCTTGACACAAAAACTTTTTTAAAGCTAATTTTTAAATTACAGAAGTAGTAGACAATGGTTTAAAAAACCCAAACGGTATAAATGGTATAAAATGAAAAAGTAAAAGTCTCCCTCTTTTTAAAACCCTTTGACATTTAAATATTAGCTTGAATTAGAAAGATAACTTTTTGGGGAATTTTTTTTTGGTAAAATCTTCATTTTAGATTGTGTATTCATTGCACTTTGGTTTATATGTGTTTTATTGTTAACTATCATCTGGACAGTCTTTCTTAAAATGGGGGTTATAGCTCATGAATGTTTTTCAGTGGCATGTACAGGTGTGATTCAGATCTCCTTTGCCGTTTCAGTTAGCAAAGCGTGGAATGAAGGTTGTCCTTATCAGCAGATCACAGGATAAACTTGACCAGGTTTCCAGTGAAATAAGTAAGTTCTCACATCAAACAAAAGAAATGCATAGTTAATTAATGTTTTCAAGCAGTTCTTTGGTACTGACATAGTTATTTATAGTTTAGGAAACTTCTTTTTCAAGGAGAGATATCATGAAAGACAGCATGAAGAAGCATGGGATGCTTTAAAGATGGATAATCAATTTTAGGCTGGGCGCAGTGGCTCATTCCTGTAATCCCAGCACTTTGGGAGGCTGAGGCGGGTGGATCACCTGAGGTCAAGAGTTCGAGATTAGCCTGACCAACATGGTGAAACCCCCATCTCTACTAAAAATACAAAAAAATTAGCTGGGCGTCATGGTGGGCGCTGTAATCCCAGCTACTCAGGAGTCTGAGGCAGGAGAATCTCTTGAACCCGGGAGGCGGAGGGTGTGGTGAGCCGAGATTGTGCCGCTGCACTCTAGCCTGGGCCACAGAGGGAGACTCCGTTTTAGAAAACAAACAAAATTGTTTTAGGATAATTGTAATTTGCTTAAAATGTCTTTTACTGATTTGTTTTGTTTCTCTTGCCAGGAGTCAAATTCTCTGATTATTTTATCGTATTCTGCTGAAACATCTAAATTTGTTTGCTGTGGCTTCATTTCAGTATTCCTGAATGCTTTTTACTCTTTTCATCTCAGTGTTTCTAAATGTTTTAAGAAAAATAGAAAAGATAGCAATATCCATGTGACAGGGGAAGTTTTTAAAACTTTCTTCTTAGGCAACTATGCTTGAGACCTGAATTATAATATGGCAAAGACTCAACTAACTTCTACTAAATGAACCAGATGGATAAACCAATACTGTTCATTTATTTGGTAAAACATACTAACTGATGTCCCCAGTTTGCTGACCATTTGTGGCCAGGAAGCTTCTTCATATAATGCTCATATAATTTTATCCTCACAAATCAAATTGTTTACTTATTAAGAATCAATTGTGTTTATTTCCAAACTTATGTTGAGTATTTTTTTTACTAAATATTCTGTAAAATGATGAACTGTTAGTGTAAAATCTAGAGTTGTTTCTATAAAAGCTAGGTTGAATGCTCTGAAAAACAGTGACTAAAATTATTTCTTTGAAAAATTGGGCTGGGCGGGATAGCTTATGCATGTAATCCCAGCACTTTGGAAGGCTGAGGTGGGTGGATCATGAGGTCAAGGGATTGAGACTATCCTGGCCAACATGGTGAAACCCCATCTCTCCTAAAAATACAAAAATTGGCTGGGTGTGGTGGCACGTGCCTGTAGTCCCGGCTACTCAGGATGCTGAGGCAGGAGAATTGCTTGAACCCGGGAGGCAGAGGTTGCAGTGAGCCGAGATCAAGCCATTGCACTCTAGCCTAGTGACGGAGCAAGATTCCATCTCAAGAAAAAAAAAAAACCACAACGAAACATTGGCCATCAAATTTGTGAGCAGAGACAAATGTAAAATATTGGAAAAACTTAAAAAAGGTAAGAAATCTGCTCCCCTGATTGTTTCATATGTGTTGAAGTTTGTTCTGTACTCTATTAGAACTGAAACAATCATAAGTGATAGAATATGGTGTGACGCA